TTAAGGATGTTTTCGTGTTGTCTTCCAGGACTCATGTTCAACACGGGGATTGGGCAGCACATTTTGAAAAACCCTCTCATTGTTAACAGCATTATCGATAAGGTGGGTATGGAAGAGCAAAAGGAGAGAATTGTTGGGTTATTGTTTTTATCGATTCCTTAAGGGCGGAGAGGATGCTTGACTCAAAATAAATGTTCTATAAATACTTGCTAAGTGAATGGAAGAATTGTCTGGAATTCATAGGCTGTCTTTGAAAGCATGATTTATCTTGTGAGTGGATTTCTCCTGACTCCAAATTTTTGTCTTTTCTTTAGGTCATTTACTTCATTGCTGGACATTTGTACTTATTCAACCTATTTCCAGTAACTTTTTCTAGACACCATCTATCGCCGTTAGTTTTTATTTATTCCAGAGCCCGAAAATATGTCTAAGCCACATGTTAGGAAGTTTGTTGCCCAGAGAAAAAGCTTAAATGGTACAATCCAGTGCCACATATAAACTCTTTGCAGTGTTCCTCCTATATGGGGTTATGGGTGTTCTCTTATTATAATGGATGGGTTTCATGCTAGGACATGAAATACAGGTGATGTAAATTACTTTAATGGTTACAAAGGGAGCCTCCTCGAACTGTAGAAAGAACTGTTACATTATATAAAGGATCACATCCTGACCTCACATTGCAAAGTGAGGATTGACCTAGCTCTTTAACCATTTTGACTAGTGCACTTGCAGCATCTGATGAAAGCTGTATACCCAGGATACTGCAGCTTTGTGTATACAAATATCCAGTTTTGTGTACAATCTCTTGGTACTCTGCATTCCTGAAACCATACATGAGTTGAGAATTGAGAAATCCTGGTATACTCTGTATAATTCTCAGACAAGGTCATCTTATGTAGTACTTTCTGGTTTGTACTTACTGATAATCGAATCGATAACAAGAAACTATTGGAATCATTTCCAAGGTAGAAAGCAGAATCCCAATCCCAGAAAGAACTGTTCTTGCTGTTTTTCATACAACTAAGTATTGTTCCAAATTATGGAGAGGTTAGATTTCCACCAACATCTAATGTCAATGAGAAGATTTCGTTAAGCACATAGATCATAAAAGAATATCATAAAAATGGAGTCACAATAAAATCTCTTAACTGAGGACTTTTAGGTAAAGATATTCAGGGATAAGTTAAATGATGTGTTCAGATATGCCAGTAGCTGAGGTGGTGTGCTTGCTTGCAGGCTGCTTTAAGACCAACTGATGTGGTGCTGGAAGTTGGACCTGGAACTGGTAATATGACTGTAAAGCTGCTAGAAAAGGCAAAAAAGGTAAAAAAGAGGGTTTAGTGTTCTGGTATCAGAAATGACTATGTGAACAAGCTTAGCTGATTTGAAAATATAAATCTGTTTTAATTCATTGCTATTATTTTAACAGTGACTCTTGATCCTTTGCTGGAAACTTTTAGAAAATAAGGGAAGGCCAAATGGGTGAAGGCGGCCAAAAGATATAAGCTTCCGGTTATAAAATAACTAAGCCCTGGGGATGTAATGTATAGCATGGCAACTATATTTAATAATAACATATTATATATTTCAGAGTTGCTAAGAGTACATTTTAAGAGTTCTAATAAAGAATTTTGCAACTATGTATGGTAACATGTTAACTACTTATTTTGAGATATATACATATATCATGTACAACTGAAACTAATACAATGTAATATGTCAACTATATCTCAATTTTAAAAAATGGTTTAAAAAAAGAAAAGATGGGATATGTCAGGAAAACAAACCACATTAGATATTTCAATACAGGGTATGGTTTTTAGAGGACTGAAAGAGTAAAATGGGAACACTGAGATATCCTGAAAAATGATAATTGCAAAGAGTAGCTACCACTGCCAGGCTGGGGGTGGGAGGTGTACAAAGTAAGGCAATTGGAGTTCCTGGAGTCTAGAACTTTGGAGAAGTAGTTCTGAAATGCTGGAGCATAGGCCTTTGAGATTGGGGTGCTGCCTGGCCGCTGCTGGTACCCGGTGTCCAATTAAATGGATCCATACTGTGCCCTCTGGTGGGAGTAGACAGCATATCTTAAAGAATTTACCTGAAGAGAGTTTAATGATGAGTCATTAACTAAATGTGGGACTGGGGTTAAGGGAAGCAGTAAGCATTAGTGAAACACCTAGGGGACTGGTAACAACAGGAAACAGTTACCATCCAAAGACCTCAAGGGGGAAAATGAGGGAACTGTTTCTGGAGCAGAGAAAGGGCAAGAGCCACTGAACAGGGGCCACTCAGCAGAACATGGCCATTGCCAGAACTTCTGCAGGGTAGGCAGCAGGTAATATTAGGAAATACTCAACCTCTCCCTTGTGCCCTATAATGTTGGTGCCTTTCACTGGCCAGTGCCAACTCAAGTGGAAAGGGCAAGGTGATACAAGGTGATACAGGGTGATACAAGGCTATATCACCCTGCAAGGCCCAGAGAAAGCTAGAGAATGGATCTGGCAGCTGAATAGAGTGAGCACATATATATCTGTTGTAGACGTGGTCCTGGCAGTCAGTAAAACCTCATTTGATACTGAATTAAAATTAAAGTTTAGCCTTATCTGGTATCCCTTTTCATTTACATAAGAAATTATTTATGCTCTTGTGTTCTGGATCTTAGTAGATGAGAGAAGTAATATACTCATTTTAGGAATAGTTGCTTTGTATGTTTCTAAGAGCATTTAGTACACAGACATGTTTATTTTTTTCATCTGTTGAATTACAAAGCATGGATCCAGAAGAGTGTGATAATTCTGTCAGTTATTTGGGTGGAACTCTCACATAGTCTGGTTGTCTGCTTTTCTGTGTATTTTGTTTGAAATGATATAGTACAGTTGAAGGAATATATATTCTTTTCCTTGCAAGTTTCTATTCAGGGCTAAATAAGTCTGTCTTTCCAACTCGGCCCAGCCCTCTGGCCCAGGCTGAGCAATCCCGGCTTTTAACTCAGCGGGCTGAGCAGCTGCTCAGCTGTCTCCAAGGCAATGGTGAGCTTGCAGAGGGCTTGCAGGGTTGGTGGGCTGGGCAGACCCAGCAGGGGCTGGATGCTGCTCTTCCTGGGTAGAGCAGCTTACCCAGGTCAGAGTGTAGAAGGGGGAGGAGAAGCTCATGTAAATCAAGGAAGAGTTACTATTGAGGTAATAAGAAAAGACACATATTCCATAATTAACCCCCAAAACCTTTCTTTTTTGTTTTTAATTTAGGTAATTGCCTGTGAACTTGACCCAAGGCTAGTAGCTGAACTTCACAAAAGAGTTCAGGGCACGTGAGTATGCATAGTAGAATTAAAGTGCATTTTAATCTCATGAAACACTATTCTTTTTTAACTGCTTTTTTCCTTATCATCAGGCCTCTGGCCAGTAAACTTCAAGTAATGGTGGGTGATGTGCTGAAAACAGATTTGCCATTCTTTGATGCTTGTGTGGCAAATTTGCCATATCAGGTATGTTTTCAATTTGTTGGGAACATTATTTGAAAGGTTTCTCTGGTGTGTATTCCCCAGAAATAACTAGTTAATTCTTTTACAGATCTCTTCTCCTTTTGTCTTCAAGCTGTTGCTTCACCGACCTTTTTTCAGGTTTGTGACAAAAGACCAAAGTTACTGACCAATCTTAAAAAGACAGAAAGGTTAGGCCATGAACAGAGACAGCCAAAGATGAAAGTTAATTTAGTTGCAGAACTACTAGAGAATTAAGTTTTTAGAAAATAACAATTTGTGTGGAAGTCTGTCTTTCTCTCCTTATACAGTTGACAGTTATCTGAGGTTGGTGTGGTGTAAGTCCTGCTTCTGAGACCAGACAGCCTTTTCCCATTGTCTAATCCTCTTGCCATTAGCCCAGGTCAGACTTTTTTTTAATTGCCTTATGTCCAGACAATTGCAGGAACCTCCTAACTGATCTCTAGCACAATCTATACCAGTGGTTTTCAAACTGCAAGCCAAAAACTTAGTTATAAAATAGATTTAGTGAGTCATGACCATCATGTTTTGTAATGACATGGAATAAAATATATGAGGACATTCATTGTATATGGTCCGATGATTATAGTTTAATGAAACTTTTGTTTGAGCTACATATACACATACAGATACAGGTATTTGTGTCCTGGGTTGAAGTGTCAAATGTATTTCTTAGTGTGACTCGTCAAAAAAGTTTGAAAGTTGAAACCCAGCTTTTCCTCTCCTGTTCAAGAACTTCCAGAAAGTCTCCCAGTGCTTGCTGAATAAGTCCACATTCTTTAAACTGTTCAGTCAGGAGGATGCTTATATCACAACCTCCCTCTCCTGCTTCGGCTCTTCCAAAAGGGTGTTTGCCACCCCACGAATACAGTTCTGCCGCTGAGCCAATTATGTTTGGTTTTTTTTCCTAGAAGGGGTGATGGACTAGTGCTGATCTGAATTACTTAAAATCATCTAATCACTGAGGGCTTAGATTTGTAGGGGGTTAGAGATGCAGCCATTATAAAATGAAAAACAAAGCCAACTTGATCATTTCTAAGGCTGAAAGTGTTCTACCTGTAACCAGCTGGACTAATTATCATTAACCACAGATGTTCCTTTCCTCTATCACCTAAGAAAATTCATTGATGTTAAAACACATTTATAGTTTAATCCCTATTCCTTTCTGTTGTCTTTTCAGATGTGCTATACTTATGTTTCAAAGAGAATTTGCCCTCCGACTAGTTGCAAAACCTGGAGATAAACTGTACTGTAGACTTTCAATTAATGCACAGCTGTTAGCACGTGTGGACCATCTAATGAAAGTGAGTGTTACTGAAATAATGCAGCTTAATTCATCCTTGAGCATTTTGCTGTGCCTTCTGTGAGGAGAGCATATTTGATTTCTAATTTAAAGTTGTTTTTGAGAAAAAAAGTAAGGCAATTGGAGTTCCTGGAGTCTAGAACTTTGGAGAAGTAGTTCTGAAATGCTGGAGCATAGGCCTTTGAGATTGGGGTGCTGCCTGGCCGCTGCTGGTACCCGGTGTCCAATTAAATGGATCCATACTGTGCCCTCTGGTGGAAGTAGACAGCATATCTTAAAGAATTTACCTGAAGAGAGTTTAATGATGAGTCATTAACTAAATGTGGGACTGGGGTTAAGGGAAGCAGTAAGCATTAGTGAAACACCTAGGGGACTGGTAACAACAGGAAACAGTTACCATCCAAAGACCTCAAGGGGGAAAATGAGGGAACTGTTTCTGGAGCAGAGAAAGGGCAAGAGCCACTGAACAGGGGCCACTCAGCAGAACATGGCCATTGCCAGAACTTCTGCAGGGTAGGCAGCAGGTAATATTAGGAAATACTCAACCTCTCCCTTGTGCCCTATAATGTTGGTGCCTTTCACTGGCCAGTGCCAACTCAAGTGGAAAGGGCAAGGTGATACAAGGTGATACAGGGTGATACAAGGCTATATCACCCTGCAAGGCCCAGAGAAAGCTAGAGAATGGATCTGGCAGCTGAATAGAGTGAGCACATATATATCTGTTGTAGACGTGGTCCTGGCAGTCAGTAAAACCTCATTTGATACTGAATTAAAATTAAAGTTTAGCCTTATCTGGTATCCCTTTTCATTTACATAAGAAATTATTTATGCTCTTGTGTTCTGGATCTTAGTAGATGAGAGAAGTAATATACTCATTTTAGGAATAGTTGCTTTGTATGTTTCTAAGAGCATTTAGTACACAGACATGTTTATTTTTTTCATCTGTTGAATTACAAAGCATGGATCCAGAAGAGTGTGATAATTCTGTCAGTTATTTGGGTGGAACTCTCACATAGTCTGGTTGTCTGCTTTTCTGTGTATTTTGTTTGAAATGATATAGTACAGTTGAAGGAATATATATTCTTTTCCTTGCAAGTTTCTATTCAGGGCTAAATAAGTCTGTCTTTCCAACTCGGCCCAGCCCTCTGGCCCAGGCTGAGCAATCCCGGCTTTTAACTCAGCGGGCTGAGCAGCTGCTCAGCTGTCTCCAAGGCAATGGTGAGCTTGCAGAGGGCTTGCAGGGTTGGTGGGCTGGGCAGACCCAGCAGGGGCTGGATGCTGCTCTTCCTGGGTAGAGCAGCTTACCCAGGTCAGAGTGTAGAAGGGGGAGGAGAAGCTCATGTAAATCAAGGAAGAGTTACTATTGAGGTAATAAGAAAAGACACATATTCCATAATTAACCCCCAAAACCTTTCTTTTTTGTTTTTAATTTAGGTAATTGCCTGTGAACTTGACCCAAGGCTAGTAGCTGAACTTCACAAAAGAGTTCAGGGCACGTGAGTATGCATAGTAGAATTAAAGTGCATTTTAATCTCATGAAACACTATTCTTTTTTAACTGCTTTTTTCCTTATCATCAGGCCTCTGGCCAGTAAACTTCAAGTAATGGTGGGTGATGTGCTGAAAACAGATTTGCCATTCTTTGATGCTTGTGTGGCAAATTTGCCATATCAGGTATGTTTTCAATTTGTTGGGAACATTATTTGAAAGGTTTCTCTGGTGTGTATTCCCCAGAAATAACTAGTTAATTCTTTTACAGATCTCTTCTCCTTTTGTCTTCAAGCTGTTGCTTCACCGACCTTTTTTCAGGTTTGTGACAAAAGACCAAAGTTACTGACCAATCTTAAAAAGACAGAAAGGTTAGGCCATGAACAGAGACAGCCAAAGATGAAAGTTAATTTAGTTGCAGAACTACTAGAGAATTAAGTTTTTAGAAAATAACAATTTGTGTGGAAGTCTGTCTTTCTCTCCTTATACAGTTGACAGTTATCTGAGGTTGGTGTGGTGTAAGTCCTGCTTCTGAGACCAGACAGCCTTTTCCCATTGTCTAATCCTCTTGCCATTAGCCCAGGTCAGACTTTTTTTTAATTGCCTTATGTCCAGACAATTGCAGGAACCTCCTAACTGATCTCTAGCACAATCTATACCAGTGGTTTTCAAACTGCAAGCCAAAAACTTAGTTATAAAATAGATTTAGTGAGTCATGACCATCATGTTTTGTAATGACATGGAATAAAATATATGAGGACATTCATTGTATATGGTCCGATGATTATAGTTTAATGAAACTTTTGTTTGAGCTACATATACACATACAGATACAGGTATTTGTGTCCTGGGTTGAAGTGTCAAATGTATTTCTTAGTGTGACTCGTCAAAAAAGTTTGAAAGTTGAAACCCAGCTTTTCCTCTCCTGTTCAAGAACTTCCAGAAAGTCTCCCAGTGCTTGCTGAATAAGTCCACATTCTTTAAACTGGTCAGTCAGGAGGATGCTTATATCACACCCTCCCTCTCCTGCTTCGGCTCTTCCAAAAGGGTGTTTGCCACCCCACGAATACAGTTCTGCCGCTGAGCCAATTATGTTTGGTTTTTTTTCCTAGAAGGGGTGATGGACTAGTGCTGATCTGAATTACTTAAAATCATCTAATCACTGAGGGCTTAGATTTGTAGGGGGTTAGAGATGCAGCCATTATAAAATGAAAAACAAAGCCAACTTGATCATTTCTAAGGCTGAAAGTGTTCTACCTGTAACCAGCTGGACTAATTATCATTAACCACAGATGTTCCTTTCCTCTATCACCTAAGAAAATTCATTGATGTTAAAACACATTTATAGTTTAATCCCTATTCCTTTCTGTTGTCTTTTCAGATGTGCTATACTTATGTTTCAAAGAGAATTTGCCCTCCGACTAGTTGCAAAACCTGGAGATAAACTGTACTGTAGACTTTCAATTAATGCACAGCTGTTAGCACGTGTGGACCATCTAATGAAAGTGAGTGTTACTGAAATAATGCAGCTTAATTCATCCTTGAGCATTTTGCTGTGCCTTCTGTGAGGAGAGCATATTTGATTTCTAATTTAAAGTTGTTTTTGAGAAAAAAACTTGAACATTCTCTGATGAACAGGTTGGGAAAAATAACTTCAGACCACCACCCAAGGTGGAATCCAGTGTTGTGAGAATAGAACCTAAGAATCCACCACCACCCATCAATTTTCAGGTAAGGTTAAAATACGAGGTCACTCAATGAAGGGAGAAAAAAAGTCCAAGCTGGAAGACATGTGTCTATAGCAGCAGAAAAATACTGAACCAAAATGTCCAAACAAGAAAACGTTATTTATGATACATCCCTCTGAAGGAGTAGATGGAATAGAATAATTTGATGCAAAGTAGTTGTGGAAGACCACAAAAGATGATGTAAAATGTTTGCAAAAGGTATAAAGATGAGAATGCTGTTGCCTTTTGCTGAAGATTATAGCTGTGGAAAACATGTATCTATTTGAATAAGACTTGCAAAACAAGATAAATTGAAAGTAGTTGTGTTAGAGTGATATTATGGGTAACACTTTTTACTTAAAATTCTTGTTTTTTCAAATTAAAGGGAAGCAAGCCAGATCACTTGATGTAAAACCTTCCTGCAGCCACTTTGGATAAAACATATTGGCTTGTATGGTCAACAGCTAGTGGCAAATGGGGTGGTTTGTCCATTACTCCTTCAAGGAAGGATAGATGTGTTGCACAGGATATATTAAAAAAATCATGTCTGTTTTGAATCATATTTTTTGAAAATGATGCTGTCTTGCCAGTGGGCTTCAGCCCCGGGCAAGTTCACTATGGATTCAATGTGACCAAAGAAATGACAGTAAAACGTTCTTCGGGTGAAAGGGTTATACCCACCTTTATTTCCACAGTGGCAGGTCAGTCACTAAAATCCCATTCACTCAGAGCAAGTCTGCATGCAGCAAGCCCGTCTCTGCCTCTGGGCCTCTCGGCCTGCACAGCTGTCCTCTGGGCTTCTGTCCTCGGCGCTGCCACCATTCCAGCCTCTGCTCTCCTGCAGCCTTGCAGCTGTGTCACCATGTCGCCCAGAGCACTGGGCAGGCCTCTTTATAAATAGTCAGTAGTGAAGTATTGCCCACACGTGTGTAGTGAGCTAGCCAACCAGGGCCAGGTGAGAATCCTGGCCATAGGAACCTTCACTTTATCCACAGATACTTATATTTAAATAAATGCCATGTTTTTTGTTCAGATGTGAAACAAATATATATATTTTTTCTAGTTCTTAAAATTGAGAATAAAATATTTAGTGAGTGGAAAAACCAAGTATACATTTCATTTTTACATGTGTGTCAGCCAGATCAAGATACAGAAATATGTTCATCACTCCAGAAGGTTCCTTTCATTTTTGTATATTAAAAGGCAATAAGCCGGCATAGGCAAGGTTTGATATTTTTTAAGAAAACATCCATTTTCTATTTCAGGAATGGGATGGTCTAGTAAGAATTACCTTTGTTAGGAAAAACAAGACACTGTCTGCAGCATTTAAGTAAGTATTTCACTCACTTATAATGTTTGAAGGACCAGTGCTCTAGGAACTGTGCTAAGTGCTAAAATTTGGTCCTTTGCCTAAACACATACCCTAAAGCGTTAAGTTTATCCATGTCCAAACACATTCTCCCTTTTCAACTTTGTACTTTGGGAGGCAGGAGAATTTAATGAAGGCTAGAGTTGGGAATTGGATCTGGTTTTCTGCAAAACAGGAAAAAATACCAAAAACTGACCACACATCTGCCTAGTTTTCCCTTGGAAAAATGTAACAGCAATGTGGGGGCCCAATGGCAAAACAGAGATCAAAGCCTTAATTTTAGGGTTTTGGTTTTTTTTTTAGGTATTTTATGGAGAGTCTAGAACTTCTTTAAGAATTTGAGATGTTTATGAGGACTTTACTTTTTAAATATAATTAGTGATTGTTTTATAAGTTTAAATATTCAATAATTTTTAAATTCCTTAAATTCAACCATATGAAATATAGATTTAATCTTAAAGGAAATTACTTATAGTCTCTGGTATGGGAATAGTAGTTGTAATATTATTTTTTTTAATGCTATAGGTCAAGCGCAGTGCAACAGTTGTTGGAAAAAAACTACAGAATTCACTGTTCTGTCCATAATATTGTAAGCAAAAAATGTTCCTGTGGTTTTGATTTGTTTTGTTTTAAAATGTCTTGTTTCTTTTTCAACTACCACTCATAAGATTCTTAATTTCGTACATTCTAAGGGATCCTTAAAAAGACATCATGTCATGTCTAACTAGCACAACTTGAACAAGTCAGGGCTGTTGTATTATTCTGGAGCAGATCAGAAGAACCTTGATTACTCCATTCACTCCTCTGTAACTGATAGTTGTTTTTAGCCAAGAGATTTAGTTGAGTCATAATTTTCTCAAAGCTTTAGACGTGTGGATTGCTCAGCTCAAAATAATTGAGTACCATCTGAATTGGAAACATCCCTTCTTGTTGCTCATTTTGCAATTAAATTCCAAGTTACCATTTTCTCATTTTTTTTTAATTCCCAGAAATTGAAATAAAGTATAGGCTGAATAGCAATTTCTCGTTCTGAGCCCCGTCTTTTATTTTCATCTGTGCAACATTTTTTTGACCAATTTTGTGTAAGCACACACATATCCATGTAAAATGAATTTGTGATGTTTGATAACTTTTTCTTTCAAATTAGAGAGGTAAGAGCAATTTTTTTTTTTTTACTCAGATCTGTGGTTTAATGTATCACATTGCTGCTTCCATTTTCTCTTTTATGGATAAAGTCATTAAACTTCTGCCTAAGTAAGAAAATATGAAACTTGATTAAGAGAAATCTGTGTGTGAAAGATGTAATATTTTCAAGGGTTGGAAAGGTCATCTCTTTGTGGAAAACTTGCTAAAATGAAATTTGTACCAAGAAAATGTGAGTTGTTTTGAAAGGAATTACAATTGCTTTAAATTTAGTTGACAGCTTTTTGTGAAGCCTCAAACTTACATAACTATTTCAGAATTTTTAAGGAAAGGGCAGTAATATACATGATTAACTCAGAATCCTCGAGTATTTGGTATATGCTTAAGAACAGCTGCTTAACTAATGAGAGATCAAAGTCTTACCTGCACAAATAGGCTCTCTAGACTGTCACAGATAAAGGTGATTGTTTTGATTTACTGAACTAAAAAAAAAGAGTCAAGGTGACTTCATTAAAGATTTATTCTGAATCTTACATTGATAGATAATACCAGAAGATTTCAGCATAGCAGATAAAATACAGCAAATCCTAAACAACACAGGTTTTAGTGACAAGCGTGCCCGTTCCATGGACATCGATGACTTCATTAGGTAATTACATTTTGTTTATATTTCTCTACTGTGACACCTTCAGATTAGAGATTTAAAGGCTTTTAAGTGGTATATAACTACCTGCAAGTTATTGCATAGCACTTCCATGGCATGGAATAGTATTTGGTGTAGAAGATGAGGCTAGGTAGCTGCAGCAGAATGAGTATTTTTCTTTAAGCACAGTAGTAAAGAACAGTCTGAGCCTGGAGATGGCCTCCATGTCAGTGTATTATGGTGTGTGTAATCCTCCCCATCAGCCCCCTCCCCCAACTTCCATTCAGTTAGTTTTAATAGTTTGTTTCTTCATAGTAGCCTGTAATGTAGAAGAATCATACATGTAGTTGGATCTCATTCTTTTATTAGGAATAGCTCTTGTTAAACAGATCCTCGGCTGGAATGTCAGTTATAAACATGTCTGATTTTCCTTTCTAACTGGTATAGTGAGAACGTTAACTTGTGTAGACTGAGACAAGTTCTAGCTTCCTAAAGTAAAATAAGAATGTCTTAATTATCTGGGCAATGTAGACCAAAATTTGTTTTCCTTGGATTAAGCAAGTAAGCTATCTAAAAGCAGAGTAAGGCTTTGATTACTCAGATAATTACTAACCTTGTGCTCGCTGGTTTTTGTCCCTAACACTTTCATTTCCTAATAAGTTGTCTACAGTTTTTGCTTGCTTTGCCAGTTCATTTTTAAAGCTTCCATGTTCTAGGTGCTGAATGAAAAATGAGGGTAGATTGCTCCAGAAGTCATTGGTTTGACTTAAACAGTTCTATATACCTACAAGAAATTGGGTTTATATTTTATATTGGCAGGCTAGCAGTACTATGGAGTCTTTATTAAATGTTAATAAAGGACTTCAACATTATTCAGAAGTACCTATGTTCCTTTTTCAGACATTTTAACCCATCTAGATCTGCACTGTGGGCCATCCTGAAAAATCTCAGGTCTAAATAGTTAAACATTTTCCTTCATCCTCACTAAACTGCCTCAAGGATATGAAATATACAGTTTACTAACTAGGATATGCTAAGTACATAGGTATCCAGAGAAAAGCTATTTATTTGTATTTAATTTGAATCTCTTAAACAGTGAGCTCTGCAAGATAGAAAGGACATGTAAGATTGGCCTTTATTACTGTAATTCCAAATAGCTTCTTGTTCACTCACCATGCTGAAATGGAACAAGTGATCAGTGAGCTTAGGCCTAGCATAGTGGAGGTCTAAGATCATTTTAGTCAAATTCATCATAATACATATAGGTTATGATAAGAGGCACCAAATGATATGGTTTTAACCTGTCTTATAAATTTAGTTGAATAATAAAGTTTCTTTGATGACTGGTGTTAGGAGTGGGTGGGCTTTGTAGGTATGCTGATAAGTTTGTTTTAGAATTCATGGTATAGGAGCTATGAACTGTTATGTGCTACTTAGTTTTTCAATAACTTCTCACTTTGGTTTCGTTTTTCAGATTGCTACATGGATTCAATGCAGAAGGTGTACATTTTTCTTAAGCATCTGGGAAAGAATTTTTTAGACTTAAGAAATGAATTGTATATTTTTAATAATTTTGAGAATGTGAACAATACTTTTGCTCCACTGGGGCACTATGTGCTTGACTATTTTTAATACTATTGTCACCACTTATTACTCTGAATTTTTACGGTGGTTAAGTCAGTCAATTCTGAGTACTCAGAAGTTTGTTTTCTTTTTTTAAATCTAGAATAGGGCAGGGTCCAATCCATACATGATAATCTCTGAGAGCCACAGACACAACTTTGCACTTAACTTCTAACAGTTTATTGTGTGAAGATGTTACTCTTCTATGTTACCTCTTACTGTAAGGACCTCTTTGGGCCTTCATTAGGCCTTTGTCCCTCAAGTAGTAAAAATGTTAAAATATATTTAACTCAGTCACATACCGCCATACATACCATTTCTTCTTTGTATTCATGTGTATAGTAAAAAGTTATTTCTTAATAATGTCTTTATTTTGCTTCTTATTTTGTCTGTTTATTTTGTACAACCCCTTCAGCTATCCCTGTAGCATCATAAGCTACCATCAGGGTCCTGGGCAAGTCTGAGTCCACTACTGTCACTGTGTGGTGCAAGTGTATTATTTTGGGGCACTATTCTTCACCTGGGAAATGAGGATGCTCAACCAGAATGAAGTGAACTGAGACTGTTTTTTTCTAGGGGAGAGTCACACATTTAAGAGAATTTCAAAGGGTTTTGTAAATCCAAAATTGGCTTTAAAGTTAAAATGTCTGCTCTTCAATTTCAAAATAAACCAAAACCCAACCAGCTTTTTTCCCACAGCTATAGGCTCCTGATATTCAAATGACTTCTGGATAATTAAAATTTCCAGTGTTTTCATATACCTGATGCTTAGTTTTAAGCTGTTTTTAAAATGTCAGGTTGAGAATTTCAATAGATGTCATCAATAGTAACTACTATGTTTAAATCAATATAACATTAGGTGTTAATGTCCTTTAAAGAATTATAGTAGCTGATTATTTTACTTATATAAAGAAATAAAAAAAATCTTTATTGATACTTGGCTTTCTTTATATCTAACTTAATAGAAGGAATATTTCCAAATTAATTAGTACACTGAATGAACCCAGAAGGGAAGTTGTTCAAAGAGATTTGTTTGATATCTGGCTTCAGTGATATAGTAAAACATTCCTATATAATTAAAACAATGTATGTTCATAGTTATTAATAGGTCTATCAGCTTTCAAGTCTGAGAAAGTAAAGCATGTTTAATCCAGATCCAAAAAAGTAGTTATTCTTTAACAACATATCAAGCCACTTTTGTTAAATAATATTAAATATACTTAAAAGTATGTTTTCAGCATCACAAAACTACTTACTCTGCAAAGTTCAGTTGTATTATCTTTCCTTTATAAGAAAGTTTAAGATTTAATTCAGCTCTCCCTCTTTCCCTGTTCCTCTATGAACTGCTGAGTTTGTCCCTTTTCTGGCTTTCAGTTTTCCCTATCTGTGAAATTGACAGATTACATTATACAGCCAAGATCTTTTCTGATACTAATGTTTTATATACCTTGATTACTGATCAGAATGAAGCCACTAAGCATAAGGCAGCATATTTGGATATAAGGAAACCTTCCAGAGATAGTACCCATTTAACTTAAATAATTAACACTAATCTGTTGTGCTTTAAAATGAGCAAATACACATCTCTTTATTGCCTTTTGAAGGTTGATTAGCCTCAAAAACTACCTTTTTAAACAGCTCTGCAAGGTTCATAGTAACAGTTCTCCATTCCTTTGAAATAAACACAAATAGAACCTATCTTAAACAGTTTTAAAACCTGAGTCCCTTCCAAAACAAAGGTGACTAAAGTAAATAATCTCTAAAACTCAATCCATAGATTTCATTTATTAATAAGCACATCATGAAAAATCTACACTTGTTCTAGACTTCAAGTTTACAGAGGAGCATTTCACCATGGTGTTAGGGTTTCCTACAACTACACTCTTGAGTTCTGTGAACAGTGTAGTAGGGAATCTGGCTCATGTGACTCTATTCACAGCTTCCCTTTGGCCCATATGAATGAGCTATTAGTTCCCTAGAGAAATCAAAACAAGTTATTCTTGGGAGATGTTTTGTTATTAATCTACTTCTGGACTCTCCAGGGAACTGAGGGAAAACTCCTAGAGAGAGCTATATAAATCCTTTAATAATATTTACATGAGAAGTGGCCAGTTTTCTTCCTTGGAGTAGCAATCTGTAAAAATAAGTGCCACCACTTAAAAAGTAGAATACTCTAGACCAATTTATTGTTGAGAATCACCAAATAATGGTGAAACATAACACATTAGGTAATGGATGGAACTTGGGTTAGATCTGCCTTTTAAGTCAGAGTCGACTCATTGTTACCTTAGTTCCTTTTCAAGGGAGTTATGTACTGCCTGCACTTGGCTTAAACTAACAATTCTATTATGGACTGCTTTCAATGTACATATTCATGCATTAAAAGCCAATTTCCTTTATCAGTACATTTAAGTTATATTTTGGGTTGCTAATGGACACTTCAACTTAGGTCATAGTATTGGTAAGGATCAAGTTGCACTATTAGTCTTGTTAATAATACCACACTGGAACACACACTGCATATATATGTATTATCCTAAGATAAAACTCTTCTCAGAATTTCATTACTTTTTATTATACACCAACTAGTTTATATTTTACTTCTTTACAAAGAAAATGCTAAAAAAATTATAACCACATGTTACATGGTTTTAAGGTCAAAATTCCAGATTTCTTTACATATATGATGGAGTGGTCCAGCAGCTATGTCCACTGTCACAGACTTTAGTTCCATTCAATGATATGGCACATCCTGCAAAAACAACTAGTCACACACAAAAAATGTCTCAAATACAATAAAAATTTACACACAATAAAGGTAATTTACACTGACAAATAAGGAATGTAATTTTTCTTGGCTGTGCTTCAGAAATTTAGGGTGATAGCCTTAGTCAAGGCACAAAGCAGGGAGAGGTGAGCACAGCTATCTCTAGGAGTGGGCAAGGTATGTACAATCACTGATGAGGTATGCATGCATGCAAAGGATTTAAAACCGCTGTCTTGCTATGAAAATTGAACCAAGTTAAAAGGAAATGCTGTGGCTTCCCTCTTACTAGTCACCTCTCGACCAAGTCCACAATCTTACTTTGTCATATAGAAAATAAAATTGGCAAGGATCTCCAAAAGTAAATCACTGTTTGGGTAAATGAAACAAAATGCTTCATTATTCCCAACCTTGGTTGTGCCTCCTGGACCAGAAGCATTTTGTAGACAAAGGAGAGTTTCACAAAATTGAAATGTCATTGAGGTGAAGGGACAAGACATTTTCCACAGACACTTAAAATTTCAAACTTTCAAATGGCCCTTACAGCTGAACCATTGTATGTTACACTAGTGAGGGCCTCTGGGGATCCTTTAGCAGCAAATGCCATTTTAAAGGGCACGGGGTCTCTTCGGGTTGATTTGCTTGCTGGCCTGTTCTTCTTCTTGTAGAGCTGCACGAAAAGATTTCACTTTATCTTGGAAAAAGAAAAGAATAAGGGAATAAGTAGTGTATTACATGCAATACAATACACAACTTTTTGGCTCCTATTAGTCAGCTATCTTATTTCATGAAATAAAATAAGGATTTTTCTTTTCATTCTGTGTTGTCCAGAAGCTGAGTACTAAATACAATGGTCAACTATAGTAACAGTTTAATTACAGATTCCTGGACATTTTTTATCTTCAACAGGTTTCTGTTGTGTTTTGGCACATTTTATAGTGTTCAACCTTATTTGAATTCCTGTTGGAGTGTAGACAGGTTATGTTTGTGTGTAAAATATGATTAGTCATGTCCAAAAGGAGTATTATGAATCTTATTAAACTGTAAACATAGAAATTTCTTCTCAATATCAGGAAATTTCTACTCCCAGTTCCTATGTTACCTTTTCGTAAGCTATGAAATTTCAGAAGATTCTTCAATTTGTAATAAAAAATGTCATTTTCCCCTATATCATTGACTGTAAAAGGGGTGGGGAGGAAGGATTACAGGATTATACATTTCTTGGTCCTAAAATCCTGTCTTACCACTTATCATATACTAATTCAGAGTCACATAAGAATAAGAAATAGGTAAGCAAATGGGCAGAGGCAAATAACAAATCAGTTGTGAAGATGAGAAAGCTTTCCACAACAATGGTTTTTAACTAGGGGTGATTTCTGACTCCCCCCTAGGAGACATCTGGTAATATCTAATCAATAGAGAGTAAGGATTCTGGTAAACACTGTATAATGCACAGGACAGTACCTCTCAACAAGAAATTACCCAACTTAAAATGTGTTAGTAATGCAAAGGTAATGGCCTTTAAAAGTAAAGAAAGATAAAAAGTTGGAATGTCAGTACAATGATGTTTGAAATGCTGATTTTTCTGAAATTTATAAAGGAATTTTAGGACTTCTTCATTTGGTGCCTGCTAATATAATAACTCAAACTTCTTAAATTACTACGGGCATACCTCATTTTACTACATTTCACTTTATGGTGCTTCACAGATATTGCAGTTTTTACAAACTGAAGGTTTAAAGCAACCTTCCATCAAGCAAGTCTTTGGGTGCCATTATTCCAATAGCATTTGCTTACTTTGAGTGTCTGTTACATTTTGGTAATTCTTACAATATTTCAAACTTTTTCATTATATTTGTGATGGTGATATATGATCAGTGATTATAACCTGCTGGAGGCTCAGATGATGGTTAACATTTAACAAGTATTTTAATTTAAGGTATGTACTTTTTTTTTTAGTAGACTAAATTATAGTGTAAATATAATGTTTATATGCACTGGGAAATCAAAAAATTCATTTGGCTCTCTTTAGTGTGACATTTGCTTTATTGCAGTGGTCTGGAACCAAACCTACAGCATCTCCAAGGTATGCCGGTACCAAAATTATCTCTGGATGGTAAAAACAATTTTTTCCCTAAGATCTAAATAATATAATATATAGGTAGTTAATTTCTTCAAAGTTATGGATGTGCTTCATATACATGAATCCTGAGAAAATTAGGGAAAGAAGTCAAATAAGTTGAATGGTACATATTACAGAGGAAAAAAAAGAATGCATTATGATCTGTTTTCTGAACAAAATACACAGAAAAGCTCCTTGTGAGTTATGGCAGATTAGAAAAATGATCAAAACACTTTAAATGAAGGCTTAAATATGAAAAACATGGAAAACAGAAGTAAATTTTAGAAATCCTACATCCGCACAAACAATTCTCAATTGGGTAAATGGTTAGTGCTAACTCTACTGGATATGATTTCAAACAAACAACTTCACAAAGCTGCTAGTTTAAAAAATTAAGCAGCTTGTTTGGTGCCAAAAACTAGCAATTTCAATCTGGTTTCATGTTGCATTGCACACACACACATACAGATGCCCACCTGCATATAAATGGAGACAGCTAATTTGCTAATGCCTATAAAATTAGCATATACAATAAATGTTAATCTAACGCTACACAGAAAAGCTAATTAAAAAGCCAAGAAAACATGGCATGTGGTTAAGCCACATGTATCCCTCTACAAGCAAAGTAGAAAGGGTAATTGTCTTGAAACCTTCTCCTTAACTTTTTTACAAACAAGTGTTCAAAGGAAAAACATGACCCAAGATGCACAGAAAGTTGATGTAGATAGGAAGGTTACAGAAAGATGACCTTGATAGACCTAATCTAGAGAAAATAATTCTGAAAAGCACTGGTCTACCAAACTGAAAACCTGAGAAAGTATATAGATATACATGGTTGTTAAAATATATTTTCTCCCTTTAATCATAAGATATCTTTACCTTTACAAGAGACTAAAAGAAAACAGATGACTAGAGAGTACTTGAAATGACACTCCATGTTTTTTTCTTCTTTTTCTTTTAGGAAAAATACAGAAGAATGCTGGGTTTGTCATTATACCTCTAGAAAGATGTTAAAGGGTACCCTTTTCACTTGAGATGTCCTCTTTCTTACATACAAATATTAAGTAGATTTCAAACAGTAAATGAAGAAAGAATTACCCCGCAGCTCAGTTAAAATGTCTATTTTTTGCTCAAGAATAGCTTCAAGTTGTGTAGCGTATGAATCTACATCATAGTCTACTTCTTCAGTCATCTCTAGGAGGGCCTTTTCATCTTCTAACCATCGAATCGATTCCTAAAAAGACAAAAATAATCCAATAAACCTTTGTGTAAGACAGAAACCAATTTATAAATTTTATATAATCAAATACTCAAGAGGGTATTCTCTAAAATATTAATAACCATACATTTATTTTCGAAACAGTATCAAGACATATTTCCTTTAATAGAAGTATGAAAGGCCAAGCAAAATGACTTTGTTTTTCTACTTTTACTCTACCTTGGTTGGAGTTTTGGGGAGGGAATGAATCAAACATCAATGAACATATTTACTCTCAAAACTTTAATAGCTATCTCTAAAACAGGGAAAGAATGTGTATAAAAAGCTACTGAGCAATTTGATGAGGTCTTTGGTAGCCTAGAACCTGTAAATCATCTGGAAAGAACATACCCATTTGGAGCTTCACAGTGCCTGGGGTCAAGAGCTAACCCACTGAACAAAATACACAGAAAAGCTCCTTGTGAGTTATGGCAGATTAGAAAAATGATCAAAACACTTTAAATGAAGGCTTAAATATGAAAAACATGGAAAACAGAAGTAAATTTTAGAAATCCTACATCCGCACAAACAATTCTCAATTGGGTAAATGGTTAGTGCTAACTCTACTGGATATGATTTCAAACAAACAACTTCACAAAGCTGCTAGTTTAAAAAATTAAGCAGCTTGTTTGGTGCCAAAAACTAGCAATTTCAATCTGGTTTCATGTTGCATTGCACACACACACATACAGATGCCCACCTGCATATAAATGGAGACAGCTAATTTGCTAATGCCTATAAAATTAGCATATACAATAAATGTTAATCTAACGCTACACAGAAAAGCTAATTAAAAAGCCAAGAAAACATGGCATGTGGTTAAGCCACATGTATCCCTCTACAAGCAAAGTAGAAAGGGTAATTGTCTTGAAACCTTCTCCTTAACTTTTTTACAAACAAGTGTTCAAAGGAAAAACATGACCCAAGATGCACAGAAAGTTGATGTAGATAGGAAGGTTACAGAAAGATGACCTTGATAGACCTAATCTAGAGAAAATAATTCTGAAAAGCACTGGTCTACCAAACTGAAAACCTGAGAAAGTATATAGATATACATGGTTGTTAAAATATATTTTCTCCCTTTAATCATAAGATATCTTTACCTTTACAAGAGACTAAAAGAAAACAGATGACTAGAGAGTACTTGAAATGACACTCCATGTTTTTTTCTTCTTTTTCTTTTAGGAAAAATACAGAAGAATGCTGGGTTTGTCATTATACCTCTAGAAAGATGTTAAAGGGTACCCTTTTCACTTGAGATGTCCTCTTTCTTACATACAAATATTAAGTAGATTTCAAACAGTAAATGAAGAAAGAATTACCCCGCAGCTCAGTTAAAATGTCTATTTTTTGCTCAAGAATAGCTTCAAGTTGTGTAGCGTATGAATCTACATCATAGTCTACTTCTTCAGTCATCTCTAGGAGGGCCTTTTCATCTTCTAACCATCGAATCGATTCCTAAAAAGACAAAAATAATCCAATAAACCTTTGTGTAAGACAGAAACCAATTTATAAATTTTATATAATCAAATACTCAAGAGGGTATTCTCTAAAATATTAATAACCATACATTTATTTTCGAAACAGTATCAAGACATATTTCCTTTAATAGAAGTATGAAAGGCCAAGCAAAATGACTTTGTTTTTCTACTTTTACTCTACCTTGGTTGGAGTTTTGGGGAGGGAATGAATCAAACATCAATGAGCATATTTACTCTCAAAACTTTAATAGCTATCTCTAAAACAGGGAAAGAATGTGTATAAAAAGCTACTGAGCAATTTGATGAGGTCTTTGGTAGCCTAGAACCTGTAAATCATCTGGAAAGAACATACCCATTTGGAGCTTCACAGTGCCTGGGGTCAAGAGCTAACCCTAAATTCTGAATACTAGCTCTACAAAATTACTGTGACTGTAAGGCTTCAATGAAACCCTTCATTCTTAACTGATTTTAGATATGTAGGTTTCATTTACTAGCAACACTGTGACGCGTATGGATGATCAACAAGGCCATTCTGAATTAGACATTTTGGATATAAAAACGGGCAACTCCTAGCTTTCTGAGATACATCCAATTTTCCGAACATCAATGCAATTTAATGGCTAATTACAACTGGACTGTGTATCACCAGGTAGGATTGGTATAGGTAGAAACATCTATCAGAAAACTATACGTGTTTATTGATTAAAACACATACACCTACCCCAGTATTTTTTCTGTCCCTTCAGCTATATTCTTACTTTTTTAAAAACAAAACCCTATTTTGAGAAATGGCAGACCACAGTAAGGAGCAGCAATTAATGGAATTGTAAAGAGAATACTGGATTGAAAGACAGAACACCCAGTTCTGCCAATAAATAAATAAATAAATGACTTTAAGAACGCATCATAAAATGGCAGAGTGGGAAATGATGGTTTTTATATGACACATTGTTCCCAAAGGGCACAGACAACAATTTTTCTAAATTACAAGTGTCCCTTGATTTAATCTAAACACCTAGGCCTTAAAGCAATTCTCATAAGGGTTTGACTAACAGTTTTAATGAATGTACATTCTATCCTAACATGATAAAATAGTTCTATTTTTAAGCCCTGAATTCAGCTAAGTGCTTGAACGGCCTACATATACACACACATAATCACACACTTTTTTTTTTTTTTTTACAAATAAAGATTTCTTCACATCAGAAAAGGAATATAGGTCAATAGGGAGACTGGGTTATTGTTTTATTTTTTCTCAAAAGGTATTTAACTATAGCACTACAGGAATGCGGAGGAAAGAGGCAAGTCAACCAGATGGTCTCTATAATAATGTCATGTTTTCTTCACTTCCTCAGAGGTACCATCCTTCAGGATATTATCTTATTAAAAGGGGTTGGGGGTGGGAAGAAGGATCACACAGTAAGAGTGCTTTCAATAGGTTGAACGCCAATAGGATGAATACCGAAGGATCTCCACAGACAGGAATATAACACTCTTCACTCAACTGCCACTGATGGCTCTGTAAGAACAGGAGATCTCTGCTCCTGAAGCAGTCTAACTGTTCTGTAAAGACTGATACTTCCTTAACTGTTTGGATACCGTTTAGGAAATTTTCTTACTGCTGTCAAATGAACTGGCCTAAAATGAAGAAAGGGATAGTGGAGGGGAGATTCAACTTCTCGAAAAATGGATGGCTAACAAAAGCAGAGTTCTAGAGTTCAAGAATAGTTTGAACAACAATACATAGATAGGTTGTAGCCATCATTCATTCTATTCAAAATGTGTCAGGTCATACGCCCTACAAAAACACACATGCATAGACTTCAAGAGAGAGATTAAAGATGGTGGCGTGAGAGGTGAGACAGAGGCTTCCTCCTAAAACTACATATAATACAAAAATATAATTAATAAACCTAATCCTGAAAGAGCAACAGGAAAGATGGCTGTGCCAGACAGCATACAACTGGAGAGAAGAATAAACGGAACGTGGTAACGAACCAAAGCCATGGCCCATGGGACCCAAGCCCTTCCCCCACCCCAGCTCACCGGTGGGAGGAATAGAAACAGAGTGGGGAGGGAGTGGAGGCCTGAGACTGCTGAACACCTAGCTATGGAGATCTACTCTGGGAGCACAAACCTACATTACATGGTTCTCTTGTGATTAGGGGGGTTGGAAAGCTAAGACAGGCAGCATACCTGGAGAGACTGAGATTCCAACTGCTCATGGAAAACAGGGATCCATATCCGGCTCCTCTGAGACAAAAGAAAGGCAGGAAGCCTGAGAGACTTCCTAACAGCTAAAGGGGCAAGGATTGCACACAGTTTACTGCTCAGGAGAAAGGACAGGTAGACAAAATGTTCCGGGTACTCTGCCCAGCAGGTTGGGAACTTTCATGATCTTCAGGTGCTCCAGCCCACTGGCTGCCTACACAGCTCCAAGGCCTCCCTCTGTGATACGTAGCCTGCTGCGCCTTCCTCCTGGCCAGCCCAAATCTGGCTCACAAACCTGCAAACCCTGCCCTGGCATCAGACCAGCCAGAGGGAAGCCCCAGTTACAGCAGCAACAAATGCAAAGCATAGAGGCTTGTACCTGTGTGCTCAGCCCACTGGTTCTGGCAGTGGAGACAGGTATAGCAGCTGGGAAGCAGGAAATAGCCCTTTCCTCCCCTCTCAGGCACTAACACCAGTCCCCTGCGACACCTGACATTGCTCCAGGGGCTGAGAAGTTCCAGAGAGTACAGGTCTGGGCACTAGAGGGTGCCACATAGAAACATGAAACATCACAGGAACCCCATTCAAAGCAAAATTATAAATACACCAGAGAGAGTCAAATGAAATCGACCTCATGAGTCTTCCTGAAAGAGATTTCAAAATAAAAATCATAAGCATGCTCATGAAGGTAAAGAAAAATATTCAAGAACTCAGGAATGAATTCCGGTCGGAGATCCAATCATTATGGAACACAGTAAAGTGGAAGATTTTAAAAACAGATTAGATACAGTGGAGGAGATGATAAATGAAATAGAAATTAGAGAAGAAGAATATAAAGAAGCTGAGGCACAGAGAGAAAAAAGAATCTTTAAGAAGAATATTGAGAGAACTGTGTGACCAATCCAAATGGAACAATATTCGCATTATAGGTGTACCAGGAGAAGAAGAGAAAAAGGGACAGAAAGTGTCTTTGAGGAGGTAATTGCTGAAAACTTCCCCAGTCTGGGAAGGAGACAGTCTCTCAGGCCATGGAGGTGCACAAATCTCCCAACACAAGGGACTCAAGGAAGACAACACCAAGACATATAATAATTAAAATGGCAAAGATTAAGGATAAGGACAGACTATTAAAAGCAGCCAGTGAGAAAAATAAGATCACATACAAAGGAAAGCCCATCAGATTATCATCAGACTTCTTAACAGAAACCTTACAGGCCAGAAGAGAATGGCATGATATATTAAATGCAATGAAACAGAAGGGCATTGAACCAAGAATACTGTATCTGGCAAGATTATCATTTAAATTTGAAGGAGGGATTAAACAATTTCCAGATAAGCAAAAGCTGAGAAAATTTACCTCCCACAAACCATCTCTAAAGTCTATTTTGGAGGGACTACCACAGAGGGAAGTGTTCTTAAGGTTTAATAGCTATCACCAGAGGTAATAAAAACACAGTAAAGAAAGTAGAACAGTTAATTACTAAGCAAATTAAAATTAAATCAACTGCCCCCAAAGTCAATCATGGGATAGACAAAGAGTACAGAATATGATACCTAATATATACAGATGGAGGAGGAAGAAAAAGGAGGAGAAAAAAAGAACCTTTAGATTATGTTTGTAATAGCATATTAAGTGAGTTATATTAGATTCTTAGATAGTAAAGCAGTTACTCTTGAACCTCTGGTAACCATGAATCTAAAGCCTGCAATGGCAATAAGTACATATCTATCGATAATCACCCTAAATGTAAATGGTCTGAATGCACCAATCAAAAGACAAAGAGTCAGTGAATGGATAAAAAAACAAGACCTACCTATATGCTGCCTACAAGAGATGCACTTCAAACCCAAAGACATACACAGACTAAAAGTGAACGGATGGAAAAAGATATTTCATGCAATAGGGAGAAAAAAGCAGGAATTGCAGTACTTGTATCAGATAAAATAGACTTCAAAACAAAAAGTCACAAGAGACAAAGAAGGACATTACATAATGATAAAGCGGTAAATCCAACAAGAAGATATAACCCTTATAAATATCTATGCACCCAACACAGGAGCACTTACATATGTGAAACAAATAGTAACAGAATTAAAAGGGGAAATAGGATGCAATGCATTCATTCTAGGAGATTTCAACACACCACTCACTCCAAAGGACAGATCAATCAGACAGAAAATAAGGAAGGACACAGAGGCACTGAACAACACATTAGAACAGATGGACCAAACAGACATCTACAGAACTCAAAACCCAAAAGCAGCAGGATATACATTCTTCTCAAGGGCACATGGAGCATTTTCAAGAATAGATCATATACTAGGCCACAAAAAGTCTCAGTAAATTGAAAAATATTGAAATTGTACCAATGAACTTCTCAGACCACAAAAATCAAACTAGAAATATATTACATAAAGAAAAGGAAAAAGCCCACCAACACATAGAGGCTTAACAACATGCTCCTAAATAATCAATGGATCAATAACCAAATAAAAACAGAGATTAAGAAATATACGGCCACAAATGACAACAGTAATTCAACATCGCAAAATCTCTGGGACACAAATCTGTGAAGTACGCAAAATCTGTGAAGGCCGTACTAGGAGGGAAGTATATTGTAATACAGGCCTGCCTCAGGAAAGAACAATCTCATATGAACAGTCTAAACTCACAATTAATGAAAGTAGAGAAAGAAGAACAAATGAGGCCCAAAGTCAGTAGAAGGGACAAAATAAAGATTAGAGCATAAATAAATAAAATTGAAAAGAATAAAAGAATAGAAAGAATGAATGAAAGCAGGAGCTGGTTCTTCAAGAAAATAAACAAAATAGATAAACCACTAGCCAGACTTATCAAGAAAAAAAGAGAGTCTACACACATAAACAGAATCAAAAATGAGAAAGGAAAAATCACTTCGGACACCACAGAAATACAAAGAATTATGAGAGAATACTATGAAAAATTATATGCTAACAAACAGGATAACCTAGAGGAAATGGACAATTTTCTAGAAAAATACAACCTTCCAAGGCTGACCCAGAAAGAAACAGAAAATCTGAACAAATTAATTACCAGCAACGAAATTGAGCTGGTAATCAAAAGCCTATTAAGAAGAAAACTCCTGGACCAGAGTGCTTCACCACTGAATTTTATCAAACATTTATGAAGACCCAAAACCCATCCTCCTTAAAGTTTTCCACAAAGTAGAAGAAGAGGGAATACTTCCAAACTCATTCTATGAGGCCAGCATCACTCTAATACCAAAACAGGGCAAAGACACCACAAAAGAAAATTACAGACCCAAATTCCTGATGAACAGATTCACCAGGATGAACATAGATGCAAAAATACTCAACAAAATATTAGCAAACTGAATTAAAAAATACATCAAAAAGATCATCCACCATGATCAAGTAGGATTTATTCCAGGGATGAAAAGATGGTACAATATTAGAAAATCTATCAACATCATCCACAACATCAACAAAGAAGGACAAAAACCATATGATCATCTACATAAATGCCGAAAAAACACTTGACAAAATTCAACATCTATTCACGATAAAAACTCAACAAAATGGGTATAGAGGGCAAGTACCACAACATAATAAAGGCCATATATGACAAACCCACAGCCCACATCATACTTAACAGCGAGAAGCTGAAAGCCTTTCCTTTAAGGTCGGGAACAAGACAAGAATGCCCAACCTCTCTACTTTTCTTCAACATAGTTCTGGAGGTCCTCACCACAGCAATTAGACAACACAAAGTAATAAAGGGCATCCAGATTGGTAAGATGACATGATATTGTACATAAAAAATCCTAAAGAATCCAGTCCAAGACTACCAGATCTAGTATCTGAATTCAGCAAAGTTGCAGGATACGAAATTAATACACAGCTATCTGTTGCATTCCTATACACTAACACTGAACTAGCAGAGGGAGAAATCAGTAAAACAATTCCATTCACAATTGCATCAAAAAGAATAAACCTAACCAAGGAAGTGAAAGACCTATACTCTGAAAACTACAACTCTCATGAGAGAAATTAAAGAAGATACCAATAAATGGAAACACATCTTGCGCTCATGGATAGGAAGAATTAATACTGTCAATATGGCCATCTTGCCTAAGGCAATCTACAGATTCAATGCAATCCCTATCAAAATACCAACAGCATTCTTCAATGAACTAGAGCAAATTGTTCTAAAATTCATATGGAACCCCAGAAGACCCTGAATACCCAAAGCAATCCTGAGAAGGAAAAATAAAGCCTGGGGGAATTATGCTTCCCAAATTCAAACTCTACTACAAAGCCACAGTAACCAAGACAATTTGGTACTGGCACAAGAACTGAACAACAGACTAATGGAACAGACTAGATAGCCCAGATATAAACCCAACTATATGGAACAGACTAGATAGCCCAGATATAAATCCAACTATATATGGTCAATTAATATACGATAAAGCAGCCATGGACATACAAGGGGGAAATGACAGCCTCTTCAACAACTGGTATTGGCAAAACTGGATAGCTACATGCCAAGAGAATGAAACTGGACTATTGTTTAATCCCATACACAAAAGTAAACTCAAAATGGATCAAAGGTCGGAATGTAAGTCATGAAACCATAAAACTCTTAGGAAAACACATAGGCAATAATCTCCTGAATATAAACATGAATAACTTCTTCCTGAACGCATCTCAAGCAAGGGAAACAAAAGCAAAAATGAACTCATGGGACTACATCAAACTTAAAAGCTACTGTATGGCAAACAGAACACCATCAACAGAACAAAAAGGCATCCTACAGTATGGGAGAATGTATTTGTAAATAATGTATCGGACAAGGGGTTAACATCCAAAATATATAAAGAACTCACACGCCTCAACACCCAAAAAGCAAATAACCTGATTAAAAAATGGGCGGAGGATATGAAGAGACAATTCTCCAAAGAAAGTCAGATGGCCAACAGACACATGAAAAGATGCTTCACATCACTAATCATCAGGGAAATGCAAATTAAAAACACAATGAGATATCACTTCACACCAGTAAGGATGGCCAGCATCGAAAAGACTAAGAACAACAAATGCTGGTGAAGATGCAGAGAAAGGGGAACCCTGCCTATACTGCTGGTCGGAATGTAAGCTAGTTCAACCACTGTGGAAAGCCATATGGAGGTTCCTCAAAACACTAAAAACAGAAATACCATTTGACCCAAGAATCCCACTCCTTGGAATTTACCTAAAGAATACATATGCACTCCTATGTATATCGCAGCACTATTTACAGTAACCAAGATATGGAAGCAGCCTAAGTGTGCTTCAGTAGATGAATGGATAAAGAAGTTGTGGTACATCTACACAATGGAATACTCTTCAGTCATAAGAAAGAAACAAATCCTACCATTTGCAACAACATGGATGGAGCTGGAGGATATTATGCTCACTGAAAAAGGCAGGCAGAGAAAGACAAGCACCAAATGATTTCCCCCATTTGTGGAGTATAACAACGAAGCAAAACTGAAGGAACAACATAGCAATAGACTCACAGACTCCAAGAAGGAACCAGTGGTTACCAAAGAGGGAGGGAGGGAGAAGGAGATTGAGGGGTATTCTGTTTAGTACACATTGTGTGAGGCTTCATGGGGAAAACAGTGGAGCACAGAGAAGGCAAATAGTGAATCTGTGGCATCTTACTATACTGATGCACAGTGACCGCAATGCGGTATGGGTGAGAACTTGATAATATGGGTAAATGTAGTAACAACATTGTTTTTCATGTGAAACCTTCATGAGAGTGTATATCAATAATACCTTAATAAAAAAAACATGCATAGCACACATTTGTTTTTAGATTAGTGTGATATTCACAGAATCATTTAGGTTTTTAATTTCTTTAGTTATCCTAAAGAAACATTTTGATGAAAGGTCCTGTCTTACTTTACCTGGAACACTGCTCTGTGATCTTCTACAACTTGTTCTTCCATTTCTACCATTTGTGAGACAGCTTCATGGAAAGTAAACAATTGTGGAGAAACCTCTTCTTCCTTAAAAATAGTTTGAAAATTATGATGTAAAGTTAATATTTAATCATTATATGTGTTAATCTTTCACCAGAATAAAGATGTAAAGACAATGTCCTCATGACTGTGACTATCATATTAGTGCTCTAAAGGTCTCAACTCTTACTAAATCTTAATTTCTGAATTGCACTGAACAATATGCTCACTAGTTTTTACATCTAATTGACAGTTCACAACTTTACTTCAACAAAAACCCCACATACATAAACATAATCCATATTTTGGTCCTATATCAAGTTAAAACTTAGTCTGGCCTTGCTTTCTTTTTTGAGCTTCCTTTCCATCTCCAATGTCTAATGATTTGTTTCCTCAAAATACAGCTTTAGTGACAAAGTTTATAAAGTTGTTTTGTAATATTTTAGTAGGAAAAAAATCCTTTTTCCAATAAAATACAGAATTCTAAATATTCGTGCAAACTTTGATTTAATACTGTAAGTAGACATTTGACTCTTTCATCAACAAACCACCATCCCTATATAATCAAGTTGGCCCAAGAACTTTTTATCTTCTCTTGGGAAAACAGGCATCTGCTTTTTACCAGGACATGCAGACATTATCATCTTTCTCTCTCTGACAAACACATACTCAACCACCTTTATTTATTTTACCTGCCCACCTCCCCACTAAGCCCAGAATCTTTTTTCATTTGCTTCAGTATGCTATGTAAGTTCCTATTACTTCCATGCAGTGTACTCGTAATACTTTTTTGTCTAAACAAGTTCTTATGGAATTATAATGCATTTAATCATCTTCTAGTTTGTTTACCTAGTTTATCTTCCATATTAGTTTTATCTTTAGGGCATGTCTTAGACACTATTCCATTTCAATCTACCATGTTAAAACTTAAGACAGCAATAAGAATATGAATACATGCATCAATACTAAAGGCTAATGTTAAACTATCTCAAGAGAGTTCCCTGGGGATGGCAAAGTTGAAAGAAATTCATTCTCTCAAATATGGAGCAGGCTGCAATAACTCATAATGTCATTCATGCCTAAAGCCACTGGATTAGTTCTCGTCCTCTGGCCAACCTTTCCAAATTAAGAGACCCAATAGATACAAGAATAAAATGGAGAAAGATCTGCTACAGAAGTATATATTCTGTTCTGTTTTTCCAGTATTTGGTAGGCACCATAGCTATGTGCAATGTAGACTTTGTTTTAAAGATTCTAAAAAGCAAGTACATTCTCCTCAACTTTGGGGACAGGGGGTAGACCAAGGCGAGAACCTTCTTTTTAGTTCTTTATTTTCTATGGTTCAAAGTTTAGAACTCTTATGAATGCTGCATTTCTCACCTTCAGCACTACTGACATTCTGTTGGTGGTGGCGGTGGGGGAGCCACCCTGGGTACTGTAGGATGTTTAGTAGCATCCCTGGCCTCTACTCACTAGATGCTAGCAGCCAGCACCCGGATGTGATAACCAAAAATGTCTCCATAAATTTTCCCCAAGTCACTCCTGGCTGAGACTGCTACAGTAAGCCTTGCTTTATCAATAGAGAGAAATTTGGAACATGATTTTAATAGTAGTATGTCCTGGCAGAACAGCCCAGAGAATACAGTTAATGACTCTGTGACATCTTACTATGTCGATGGACAGTGACCACACTGGAAAGGGTGGGCGCTTCATAATATAGGTGAATACTGAACCACTGTGCTGTGTATCTGAAACCATCATAACACTGTGTATCAATGATGCTTAAAAAAAAAAGTGGTATGTCCATTTATTACTAGAATATTTTGGACTTTAATACCAGCTAGAAAGTATAAAAACATTATATTGTTTCCAAAGAATATTTTACTGCAGCTAGCAATAAATTTAGTTGACTTAAGATTTGGCTCTGGAATAAGAAAGATCCACATCTTAATTCTGACTTCAGCACTTACTACTTGTGTTATCTTAGAGAACTTACTTAACCTTTCAGAAAATCAGTTAAAAAGTAGGGGTAATTATAGTACTTATCACATTCTGTCATTAAGATTAGACAGTATGTAAAATGCTTAGCAAATGTATGCCATGTATTAAACAATTAATAAATACCTTTATCATTACAAGAAAACGCTACTATAGCATTCTTAATGGGAAAATGATACAAAACTATATAGACTGTACATTTAAAAATGAAGTTAAATAATATAGAAACTTTCATATTTCACATACAGAAAGGAATCCTGTCAATATATCAAAGTGATTATGTGAAAATGCATATGTGTTTTTGTTATTTCTTTATATCTCTTTGTCCTTATACAATGGGCACATATTTATTTTTTGAATAAGGTATCAAATTTCTAAATCATAAAATGTCACTACACATTTCAAAGATACAGATGCAATCATATTTAACAAATGTTACAATTTTGCCACATTTGATTTTTTAATATAGTTCATGCATCCCTCTAATACATATTTATGTGTCATAGTCAATTTTGTTTTTAAACTACATTTATGATATATTGTACAATTTTACACTTATTTCCTTATATGCCTTAAAAAAAATCTCCAAATTTTAATATTGCTATAAAATCTGAAAGAAAAAAGAGGGAATAAAGAAAGAATAGTTCAGATAGTGGCCAGCAAACTTTCTTAAAGGGCCAAATAGTATGTATGCTGTTGGGCTTGTGACCCATAATCTTTGTCACTGCTGTTGTAGTAAGAAAGTAGACAGACAACCAACCTATAAATGAATGAGCATGGCCATATTTCAATAAAACTTTATTTGTGTAAATAGATGACTGGTTCAGACTATACTTTGCTGATTCCAAATTTAGACAATAGTTTTCAATTACTAAGTTTTGTACTGATGAAATGAACTAAAACTAGATAATTACAACTATATTAAATCACTCACGTTTTGCTCACAAAGAAGTTTTAGGTCATCTCTCTGAGGGGAACTGCCCACACCCCATTGTGCCTCTAAGTCATCAATTTGGTTTGATGGATGGTGCATTATCGGACGGACATCACCAGCAGCAGTTGGATCCACAGTCAGTTCTTTCACCCTATAAATACATAAGATGTATTCTAAAGTTAACAGACTTGTGCACAGGAACAAAAAAAATACCAATGTATTCTATAAAAAGGCAATTCAAATAATGTATTAAGGCTGATGATGTCAACTTTTCAGATCAAATTTACCTGAAATCTGGAAACACTTTAGGAATGCTTAGCTGTTTAACTTTGGGAATGTATTTAGGTAACTTTACAATTACTTCAAATATAATTATTATGCATATTAAATGATAATTAGCAAAATATGTAGATTCAGTATTTTAAAGATATAAGAAACTTGTAGCACTTAAATTATATGAACAGAAAATACTAATGAAGGCTCTTAAGCCAGTAAATAGCTCACTGCCAAAATCAGTATGTTTAATACACTTTGCAAATAAAACAACTACATGTAAAATAATCTTATTTCTTAAGTATAAAAATTATAAGACATAAAGTTCTATTATTTAAAAAGTGTTTACTCTTTATTTTTAAATCTACAACTGGGTGAGGGTGTACTTTCTAAGTCAAGAGGATACTTGTTATTTCCCTCCAGAAAAGGAAACTTTTAAGAACATAAAGGTAAACTTTTCATTTTAAACAAAGACAGTTTATCTTTCAATGTTAAATATGCAAAGATGACATCATCATTACAACTATGAGGGAAAAGAGGAAGCCTGAATTCTAAATGAACAGTTTAAAGCAAATAAATTAATAAAGTACATAAAAATGAAGATCATGCAGTACGACCACCATCTGCCAAACCAAATGAAAATAAAAAATAAAATAGCTCAAGACAAAAGTATAAATGAAATACTTATATACATAGCACACTTCAAAACAAACTATTAAAATGAACATCTTATGTATGTATAGAATGAAGTAGACCTGGTAATCGAAGGAGAAAAGTCGTCATATTCATAAGAAGGAGAGAGATCAGGGCGACTGCCACTACCCTGTGAGAAGGGAATGTCTGATGGACTAATTCCAAACTCCTTTACTCTGCAGCACCAAAACAGCAACAAATTAAGAGAAAATGCTCTTGTAAAGACAGCAAATGCACATTTTAAGATTTCATTCAGTATTCAGTTTGTTTAGAAGAAGACATCAACATTGTTGTGACTTAATATATTTAGAATATTTAAAAAAAATTTTAGGTTTTTGAACCTTTCTGTACTAGTAATTCTCTACTTCATACTCTTTACTTTCTGTTGTATTTTTCTTTCCCTTTCTCATGATCCTTCTTAGGTTAATGAGAGCATCACCTAAATTTGAAATTTTCCTTATATAACTCTATGACCACACAATCTGATTTCCTCAGATATTTAATTCCATGAATGTTTTGTTTATTAGCATCAGTGAGTCCTCAGAACTCTTGTATTGTAGTCTTTCCAAATAGGATACAAGAGAATTAAATCCCAGTGGCATCCATGGTTTGTAATTACTTCTTTCCTATGTGTCTGGAATGGTATTAGCTTGAAATATCATTGGTACAAATTGAGAAAACAGTCATTCAAATAATTTTCTGTGTTTGCTTCAGATGAAGAACTCTGGTTGAGGAAAGCCTTTAGCAATGGAATTAAATTGCTTCTGATAATGTCTCTAATTGTTAGGATTAACCACATTATGTATGGCTTTTCTGACTCTATCTTTCTGATTCTCTATGTCCCTTCTGGACCAATCCCATTTCATAAACAGTAATACTTCCTGTTTGTCAGGTCCTTACAGCAATCTTGTGATATTATTACTGCCACCTTACAGATGAGAAGTTGGCTGAGAGCAATGAAGTATTTCACCCACGGTCATTTAATGAAAATGTGACATAACTGAGGTTCAAACCTAGCTTTGAGTACAAACATTATTTAAACACTTCAGTATACTAACCATATTCTTTTTCTCATTACTTCTCTTAGGTTTGAACTAAATCAAATTACTGTTTTTATAGGTCAAAAATGGACATACTGATCAAACCAATAATTTCAAGTAGAACCAATTAATAAATTTCTTCTACTTACAATCTTTCTTTGACCTATTAGTAATATCTACTGTCAATGTTCAATACTGAATTCATTTGCGTTTCATCATTTATAGTCACTTTGGAAAACTTATTTACCACACATGCTGACAAACTTAAATTTCTAATACTGCCTTAACTCTTTTTATATCCAACCCCATTCTTATCTTATTCTTTTTTCCTCCTAATTTAGATACCCTGTTATCCCCTAACTACACATCTTTATTCTATTCAAAGCCCTCTTGCCCAACCCAAACACTATATACTATATATAAGAATTATATTCCTCAAATGAGCTATCAAGGGAGGCTGAAAATTTTTATTCTTAGAGATTTGGAAATAAAAGACAAAATTATGTGTCCTAGATGGTTAGTCATGTTGTACATTATATGGTAATAAATTAAAACATTTACTTGAACCTAAACAAACTAGAGGAATGTCAGCCAAATATAGCATTTTCATAGTAGGGGGAATTCCTTTACTGTCAGAAATCTGAAGACACGGAGGGATTTTATTTGTTTTAATTCTGCAACATGGCAATATTCTGCTACCCTAAGACATTTCTCATCTCCCACATAAACAATTTTGAAATAAGCATGTAAAATTGATGATAAAAACCCCATATGTCAAAAATGTTCATTACAAACATCAAACTTAAGTACTATAAATGTCTGCAGCTCAGAGCTTTTAATTCAAAGTTTAAAAGGGACTAAATTTAGAAATAAAGTTACACTATATATTTAAATAAGTTATGTTTTAATACCTTTTAATGTACAGTCAGTAGGTTTATACTTTCCAACAGGTTTTACTACCATTTAAAAAAAATCTCAATTGAAAAGCAAGATACAAAAAAACAAAGGGTATGACCTAATCCACTTAAGTAAAGTTTAAGTACAGTTACCTATGTTGTTCAGGGAAAATATTTTTAAAAGGGAAAAAAAGGAAAACAAGAAAATTATTGCACAGGGGTCAGGTCAATGGCTACCTCAAGGAAAAATTAATGGATTTGAGACATTTAAGATTTGTGATCAGAAAGGGGCACATGGGGAAATTTTTCTGGGGGGCTGGAAATATCTTATTACTGATCTGAGGATAGGAATTTTCACTTTATAAGTATTTATTGAATTAGTCACTTACATTTTGGGGAATCTCCTATAGACATGTATATCACATTTTAGCAGAAGATTACAAATAAGATTTCCATCATTAACACAAAAAAGAACAAATGATTGTGTTTAGCAAAATTAAGAGAATCTTCACACTAAAAATGTAATACAAAAGGGAATTTTATATTCAAGTTAAAGTCACAAATGCAGTATGTGACAACAGACATTTAAAACTATATAGTCATTCAAAACAGGAGTAAAGGGAACAATTTATAGAATAAATATAAATATATATCACAATCTGAAGTTCCAAGGATATTTTATGGCCATAAGGAATACACTGCTTTAATAGGCTATAGTGCCTTTTGTACTTCCATTTGTAGTAATTCAGTTGTCCATTAAAGTTTTAACACTACTGAAATAATAAAATATAATCTATTTGAAAACCAGAAAGAACTCTGGTATCACTTCTGAAGCAAACCCTAGATTCCCTACATATAACATGTAATATTATCAGAAATAATTTTCAGCAGAGAGAAAAATAATGTAAGAAATATAGACTGGCCCCTGCTGAAGCTCACTTACTTTAGAGTCTTAATATGACAGGAGTAATTTGCAAGAATATGACAGGAATATATTTAAGTGTAGTGAAATATTATGAAATACAACTTGGTGAAATGGAAGAATATAATCTGGGATAGAAAGACCAATGACACTAAAGATTTAAATCTCTTCACAAATCACACATTTCCAACATTTTTTAGAACTTGACAAAATGATTCTAAATATCATCTTAATCAATAACATGCAAATTTTTTTTGAAAATTTAAAGAACAATGTTATAAAATATGCTATCAGATATTAAATTAGATACTATTTTTATTCCCTCAATTTTCAAAACTGATAATCATTTATCATACCTATTTGCATATCTTAATGTATTAAGAGTGTTTTCACATGATGCCATTCCTGGAGAGATTGTGGCAATCTATGGGAGAAAATGCAAAGGTAAAGAAAATGTTATAAATGATGAAGGCAGTAATACTGATATACAGCTCATTAAGGTCTAATCGTAAAATGATTATCTAAAAAAAAGATTTACTAATGATATCTGAACTCCAAGAAAATTTGCTATCTCATACCCATAAGCTGATTAATAATTACAAACTCAGGTTAAAATCTAAACAACTCTCTGAAGGCAACAGAAAATGACCAAAATTGGGCAGGAAATGGAAGTTAACAGCTGCAAGAGGCGAAAAGCCCTGAGTGACTGCTTCCACCCCTCCCCAATAGCTTTTTTGTCAAGGGGCAAACCCTTGCTGCTGTCACACAGGACAACTAAAACTTCATTAAAATCTGAGACTCACTGGTTAAGGAAGGACAGGGTTTGGAGGTGGGGATCATAGGAGCTGGAAAATGAAGTTTGTTCCAGAAGACAACTACAGGAGGATATTTTGACAACCAAGAATTCTACATATAAAGTGCCTAACTGGCCGACATAAGAAGAAAACAAATCCTACCATTTGCCACAACATGGATGGAGCTAGAGGGTATTATGCTCAGTGCAATAAGCCAGGTGGAGAAAGACAAGTAGCAAATGATTTCCCTCATTTGTGGAGTGTAACAATGAAGCAAAACTGAAGGAACAAAGCAGCAGCAGACTCAGACTCCAAGAAGGGACTAGCGGTTACCAAAGGGAATGGGTGGGAGAAGGTGGGTAGGGAGGGAGGGAGAAATAGATTGAGGGGTGTTGATTAGTACACATGGTGTGTGTGGAGTCACAGGGAAGGTAGAGAAGCACAGAGAAGACAAGTAGTGAATCTGTGGCATCTTACTACACTAATGGACAGTGACTTGAAGGGGTATGGGGTAGACTTGATAATATGGGTGAATGTAGTAACCACAATGTTTTTCATGTGAAACCTTCGTAAGAGTGTATATCAATGACACCTAAATAAATAAATAAAATTTAAAATTCACTGTCCAAAAAAAAAAATTTAACTGGCTAACCTCTGAACCACACATACACAAAGCTTACTCTAAGCAACACAGCTAAATTTAAAAGAACTAAACAGAGATTTCAATTTCAGTTGTTGCTCACAGTAGGGGAGACAAGAGTTTGAAGTAAATTCAGCTAGGTTTACTTTCTGTTAAAGCAACAAAAAGCTTTAAAATTCTTCTTTAGAAGAATGTAACAGAATTCAGAGTGTCTAAAAGGTACTCATTCATAACAGAAATTATATAATCCAAAATTACTATATATATGAAGAAATAGAAAAGTGTGAACCATATTCAAGGAAAATAGAAAACAATGGAGTCCAACCTCAAGAAGACTCAGATGTTGGAATTAGTAGAATGCATTTTAACTGTAATTAATCCTCTGTATCAGTCTGGCAGGGACTACATCTTAAGTATCACTGTAACTTTTAAAAAGAAGGATTTAAATGATTGCCATTAATGTATATTATCATTTTTCCATATATATTATGTAGATATTCAGGACTAAAACACAGCAAATAAACAGACAAAAATCAAACACTAACTTACCATGCAAGTACGAGAGTTTTCACCTATGAATGAATCTCTTAACACCTGAGTAAGTTTACTTGCTCGGAAAGGAGTGTGAGGTTTATTTCTACCTAAGGCTCTGATGCACTCCTGAAAATTAACAAAGAAAGTTTTACAGGTTAGGCTTTCTATAAAGAGTGTCTTAATTACCATACTTAAAAATTTCTTAGTGTAACCCTAACATCTATGATCAAATAAGCTCTGAAAATTCTAGCAGGTTTATAGCACAGTAAAGATGCTTCTATAAATCCTAATTCAAGAAAAAAACGAGAAAAAAAGCCAACAAACTCCTTTATTATTCCAAAAGATTCTTCTGGACACTGTGATTAGTGTTATGAGTGACAGGCAGTAGTAGGATAACAATAAAAAGTTAAAATTTTAAAATGGTACTACAAAAGAAAAACAGAACACTCACACTCTCCTGCAATCCTGCTAATTTTTGCTTTTCTAGTCAAGGAAGATATACAATACTTGACTTTTTGAAAGCCATTCCACATTTTCTGAGAAACTATTTCTTATCTCAGTTTTGTGGTTCCTTGCCATCTTCCAAGAAAATAGGACTGAGTGAGGCCCTCTGGAATGTAAGTAGCCTCAGAATTATGTGTATACAAAAAATTTGTGGGTACAATATAAATCTGTAACTGCAAATACAAACAACTAAATTTTGATAACCACTTAGTAGTCACAACAAATACTATCATTTTGCAGCCAAGTAAACAAAATTAAAGTAAAAAGTAAAAGACTTTTCACAATCAAATACAATTTACCTTGAGTGCTAAAAGGCTTTTATTTATTTCAGCACCTTCAAGCCTAGTTTGTCTGTCTGCACTAGAAGTATCAGCTCCTCTTTCATTTCCAGCCAAATCGATAAGAGAAAATTTTCCATGTAGTTTTCCTTTTCTTCGTAGAATTATCTGAAATACTGCATGACTCCGAGATGAATGCGCGTTTGCAGATGTCTGACCGGATGTTCTACAATGTGATATGAAGGCATTTTGATACACAAGAACTTCAATTTATATGGTCAAACTACAGTATTTGCATGAAGACAAACAAAACTCCCCAAACTATCCAGTTTTCATTGTTTAAATACAAGAGACATTCTGAGTTAAGAACACTGAAACATTACCAGATTCATACAATTTAATTTGGCATATTTCTGGTATATTTGCAGTAGATAGTAGATATCACTCAAATTACATATAAAAACAGAAGTTTTTATAAACAATTTTTACTTACAAGATGCAATGATAAGATCCTTGCTTTGTTTTTATGTTATATCCAAAGCATCTAAAATTAGGAAATTAAGTTTCCCTTTCTTAATTAAAATTTACCTGCAACTGTTGCCTATGTCAATGAGTTTCAGTACATCTTCAACACATTTGACCTCCCGTTCCTGTAATCCCACAACTTGAACCTGCTGTTTTCCATCTTCTAGCACTCTTAATTTTGTTTTCCTGTTTAGCAAGTCAAATACCTATTAAAAAATAGTTCAAATTAGAAAACTAATGAATTCTACGAAAATGAGTCATTTACAGTCTGGCAACTATAATGATAATGCTCAATATTGATGCTGAGAGTTTCAAAGGGAATTTTTAAATATCTTTTAACACAAAATTCTAACAGTTAATCTAAATATACAAAAATTATGTTGGCAATGGTTACACAACAATGTGAATGTACTTAATGCCACTGAACTTGTATACTTTAAATAGTTAAAATGGTAAAAAATGGTAAATTTTATGGTATGTATATCTTAACCACAATTTAAAAACCTAAAAAAAAAAATAAAGGTAAGTTTCCACTTACCTTTCCACTATAAATTTCAAAAAAGGTTGCATATACTTGAAGCTCTAACTTCTTATAGTTTGGCTTCTTTAACATTAAAAAGACATCTCGAGCTGTCAATTTTATATGGAGAGAATGTGTTAAGATGCAACATATAGTATTTTTAAAAAGCAATTCAAATTTTCTATCCTTAGACTAATCAGTTAATCTTTATCTACAATGATAGAATCAATAATACAAATGAAGACAAAAGTGAACATTAATTTTACAAAAAATAGTATTAGTATTTTTTACACTTAAGGTTTAGATACCACTCAATAAAAGAATTCAATAAAAAATGCTATTACTTATCCTTAAAAATTGCATAAAATTGTAAGTAGCTATAATAGTTACTCTCATAACCATACCAATCAGAATGTTTTCACAAATCAGTTACTCAACAACAAATACTAAGCTCCAACAATGTGCTAGATTCCAATGACATAATCAAGATTTCTTTCCCAAAAGCTTAACCTCATAATTCTTTTCTAAAAACCTAAAAATTGACATAAAATACAGTAAGTATATTACAGTTACCCTTGAAGTCCTGGACAGTACCTCCAAGTCTTATTTCATTGCCACCTGAATAACATTCAAGAAGAATACAGTTGGGCCTTGAAGACCATGTTTGAACTGCATGGGTCCACTTATATGCAGATTTTTTTCAATAAATATATTATTAAATTTTTTGGAGATTAGCGACAAAAAAACTTTCTTTTCCCTAGCTTATTTTATTATAAGAATACAGTGTATAACATATATAACATACAAAACAAATGTTAATGCACTGTTTTTATTAATGGTAAGGCTTCTGTTTAATAGCTATTAAAGGCTATTAGTAGTTACAAGTTTTTGGGGAGTCAAAATTAAATTTGTGGATTTTCTACTGCATGGGAGGGTTGGTGCCCCTAGCCCCCATGTTGCTCAAGGGTCAAATGTATTACAAATGATACATAAAAAGCAGTTACCTGCTAATGCATAAATTCCTTTAGAACAATCTTGGTTCTTCCCTGAAAAGTCACCTCCCATAGTCTATATATTTAAAAAAAAAAAGAATAGACATTATTTAAGTCTTGGAATTAGGCTAATAAGGAAAGCAAATTTGCATAGTTAAATGTAGCTGTAATGAATTGCTTACGTGAGTTTTTCCACTTCCAGTCTGCCCATAAGCAAAGCATGTAGCCATCCCCCTTTCAAATATAGTTTCCACCAGTGGTCTAGCTGTAAACCTTAAATAAAAATCAAATGCACCAGTCAGAGTGCGCTGTCAATACTTAAATTAAACAAATAAATAATAAAAGTAATATCAAGTCTTATTAGTAAACGAAACTTACACCAAGATTTTTAACAAATCAATGAATGGGCTTAACTTTGAGATCACAACTGAGCCCATTGATTTGTTAAAAATTTTAAATAACCACATCCAAGAATTGCTTAAAGTTTTAAAACATAATTTTCAGCAATAATTCTGTAATAAACAATGGTCAGAATAATTATAGACAGAAAAAAATTGATAGTAACTGAGCTAAGACATATAGAAGACAACAGGGAAGTTTTTCAAAATACTAATAAAAGATGGTAACATTAGCCAGATAAATAAGACATATAATAAAAAGAAAAGTATCAAAAGTTTCAACAGAAACAGAATCAAAATAATGGTAATCATAACAGAAAAACTAAGGTTGAAAAAACTATAAAACAATAACTTAGATGATCTAAGAAGTAGAAAAGTGGTAAGATTAATTTGAATGTGAAGAAATGCAGATTATGCCTATAAGACAATGAGTTATGAGTTTATAGTCTTGATTCAGGAAAGTATGCCAAAGTATTCTGGTTTGGATTATTTTTTAAATGTACTGGTATAATCACCACTAGCATTAAAATAAAAAGGTAAGGAGGGACATGAAAAACTCACTGAGCACAACACTAAGAAATCTGATAGAAAACAATCTACTTTTTATATACGTGTCAAAAGAGTGTATGTGGAACAGTTTAAACAGCTCTGATTTTTTCTTTAAAGGCACCAGAAAAGGTAAAAAAACAAAAGCAGCAGAAAAAAGTTCTGGCCAAACAAAACTAGAAATGAGTCTGCAGAGTGATTAAAAAAAAAAAGGTCCAATTCCTCAATTCATAGAAGTTAAAAATAAGAGAACGGGGATAGGATCAGTATCAGTAAAGTCAAGAAGCATATATATACGGTGAAACACAGAATGTTTACTTAGTCTGTCACATACAAACACACAGAAACATACCTTCATTTATAATGATTTCTTGAAAATGATTATAAAAGTCAAACAGACACATTTTATGAGGCAGGAGTGGAAGCAGAGAAGGGTGTGAGGGGGAGGAGAGGGCTCTGTTCTCAGAAAGGTAAAAAATAAATAATTTATAACTGCCTTTAAAACAAGTTCTTTATTCTATTTCTATCACTCACTTACATGTTCTTTAATTTTGTTCTCTTTCTTTATGAACTCCCATACTGGCTTAAGATGAACAGAGTTGTTTTCAACAGTATTTCATTTATAACAGCTTCAATTCTTAGGACTCCATTAAATTCTTTAATTTTCTGTTTTCCAGTCATATTTATAAAAAAGGCAATGAAACATAGCATTGAAGTAACTGACAAGACAGTTCTACATAGACTGGAAGAGCAATGTGGCTAAAACTGACTGGTTAAAATAATTAGAAGTGAAGGCTTTACAAACTACATATGAAAATTAAATTTGGCATAATAATTTGGGGTATCAATGTGTAATACATGTAAGTTTGAGTTGTTCATGAGTTCAGTATGCGAGCATATAAGAATTTCATGTACTAAAGCTATTCTAAAGCTTAAATATGACAAAAATTAGGCAAATTCAAGTAGATTTACACAACTTTTTCCCCCTTAAGTGGTAGTACATGTTAAATAAATATTCAGACAAATTAATGACTGACGTATAACTGTTATTTCCAATTTCTTCACTAGTACAGAGATTAAAAAGCTGAAAATAGAGTCCTCTTCTAAGCATATCCCATTCTTAGAGGTACAGAAAATGTCAGCATTTTCCAGAAACTTCCTATCCATCTCTGTATCTATCTACCTACCTACCTACCTACCTACCTACTTACCTACCTATGTGTACGGTGTGTGAGATATGTATATAATGATTAGCAATTAAAATTGTGATTTTGGGGAGCATTAAAGAGAACAAGTGCTAGGAGTCATTATAGTACTTATTACATATTCTTCTTTGTTTAAACTCAGAAAAAAGTATATTACACCTTTGGAGAGACAAGCTAAGATCATGTAGTTCAGGGTGGTTATGAACACACAGCATAACAAAATTCTGATTAAAAACAAATTTACCTACCTGTAAACCATTTCATTAGGAGCTGAGTCATCAAAGGCATAATCAAAACGAAAAGTTTGGTTTTCTAGGTACCTTGTCAAATCTACTTTTTGTTTTGGTTCGTGTACCATCACAACATCTTTACTAGGGATTGTAATTACATCAAGATCTTTCATTTGAGTTTCTAAAGGAATAAATGAAAATCAGTGCCCAGTAATTTACACAGCATTTGAATTAATGTACAAAAATTATTTTAAGTAGTAAGAATTTAGGTAACAGTAGTAAGTTGTGTAAATATAAATACCATATGTATGTCATTCAATAAGACAAAATATTTCAACAATGAAGTAAAAAAACAAGATTTCTGAAGCACAAACTAGGAATGGCAGAGATTCATAGAGTAGTAATAAGAAAACAGATCTGGCCATAGAAATATACAAAATGGTTACGTACAAATGAAATGATTATTTACACTGAACTCTTTCAAACTCTTCTGTTATTATCAAAATAAATTAGAAACTGGATAAAATCAACCTTTTATTAGAGTTCAAAAGGCATCATACCTTTTTTATTGAGTGGTCGTTTTCTTACACAAACACATATCCTATGTTCATCAATCTAGAAATAAAATTTATTTCAGTGATTATCAGTGGTATGTAAAACACCAAAAAGTCAATTATGCAATACTTCCTTCAGAGTTTTTAGAAATTTATGCATACCATAAAAAACAAATTAGCTTTCAGAAATTTAAATGTTATTAGACATGATTATTTCTAAAATTTTGAGTATAATGGAAACTTGCTTGTTTTATTTGGTAAAACATTAGGAAATAACTTTGTAGAGGGTACTACTGTTCTTAGCAGCATTAGGTTCATGTTAAGAAGCTGCCTTATTCATTTCAAGATGTGATGTATATAAACAAATTGAATTTCCTACCAAATAGTGTATTTTCAGGTTGTTTATAGAGAAAGTTGTTGGCAAAGGTAACTATGGACAACAACACAATTCTCAGACTATTGAGCAAAAATAACTTCAAGTTTTTAATATGCCAGTTTTTACACATATTTTTTCATAAAATTTACATTCCAAATACTTGCCTTTTAATAACTGACATAATGCAGGGATTGGCAAGGTATAGCCTGCAGGCCTAATCCAGCCTACAACCTGTTTTTGTAAAGTTTACTGAGGATTGCACCCATTCGTTTATATATTGTCTGTGGTTGCTTTCACACTGTAAAGGCAGAACTGAGTAGTTGTGACAAAGACCATAAGACTTACAAAGCCAAAAACATTTATGATCAGGCCCTTGTCAGAAAAAGTTTGCCAATCCCTGTCCTAAAGTATGTGGCAAGTTAAATACATGGAGGGGTAACAACGACTAAAATACATGCGATTCAAGTGTCACAAACAACAATTCTATTATATGAAACCCTACATAATACATCTGCCTACTGCAAATTTATTTTGTGTACCCAATACAGTCTCTATATGCTAGGTCAGATGGATTACTTTTCATAAGTGACAGTTACAAAGTATTCCCTATTCAATAAATTCTCATTTTCAACATTTTTCAAGCAGTAGATTTCTGGCCTACTGCAGCAGAAATTGTAGTATTGTAGTATTGTTATGAAAGAGAAACTGAGATCAAAGCATAAGTGATGGTCATAAAGGAAACTTATCTACTGACATTACTCCTTTAACAGTTGCTCTGCCCTATCAGACAGGAGGCTTTCCTTTGAAAAGGGCATCTCTGTGAGAAGCATGTCTGACAACATCAAATTATGGCAGATAAAAATAAATGTAGATGATTTCTTGGTTTTCTTCTTAAAACATGGGGATAAGCACCCATAAGGAGAGGAAAAGCTATATAACTAAATCCATTAATTTAGGGGGTATCAAATACATTTTTATTTACAGCATAAAAAGTTCCAGAGCAATGGTTTATAAAAAATCTTACAGGATCTGCTGTTGTTAATGGTCTATAATCCAAACTTCCTCTAAAGTCTCTGATCATACACATTATTTCATAATTTGGGTTTGTAGCATCAACATCCTATAAGAAGACAGAGAGAATTCATTTACTTATTATAATCACAATAATGGGATATATGTTTATTTGTTATATGTGATTTGAAAATTAAAATAATAGGCTGTGTTATTTGTCACAGGTAAGTCCACACTCAAATTGGAGATGTACTACAATTTAGTTTTAGAGTTCAGGATTAATAATATGCCCAGGAATCACTTCCATACTAAAAGCACAATTCTGTTAATCTACATGAATTCTGTTAACTCCAAACCAAACACTTCTCATCAATACCACCCTTGAACTTTAAAAATTCACTTGTTAAACATATACCTTAATTGTCCTAGAAAATAGAGCTGAAGAGAAAAAATGATCATTTTAAACTTCACTAAAGAACTCTATAAAAGCTGCAATTCTAGAAAAATTCATTTAATCAGATTCTTCTTGCCAATTCTTAATCCAGTGTTTCAGGGAAGTAGAAATATGGATTCATTTTTATTGTGTTTCTTAAAAAAGAAAAATTAAGGCATGGTAAAGCAACTCTAAATGAGTAAGACACAGAATTTAAAGGAATCAAAAGTCAAGATAATTTTTAAAAATCTTTAAAATTCAAATTATCAAATGCTGACTGTAATTTTTTTGCTTCAAAACTGAGAAAATTCAGATAATGATAAAAATAGCAAAGTTACATGGCCTTTCCTAGCTGTAATAAATTATTGAACATTCTAAGAAGTTAGATTTTTTCTTTTTTCCAAACATTTAAAAAAAGTTGAAGTATCACACAATTATATATTGGTTTCAAGTTTACAACACAGTGGTTCAACAGTTTCAAGTTACCCATATTATTAAGTACTCACCCCACTAGTGCCGTTACTATCTGTTCACACAGGAAGATGTTACAGAATCATTAACTGCATATTCTCCATGCTGCACTACCATCCTCATGACCAACTTATATTATGATTGAGAATTTTTGTGCCCCTTTATACCCCTCCCCTCCTTCCCATCCCCTTCCCCATGGTAACCACTAGGCACTTAGTGTCTGAGTCTACTGCTGTTTTGTTCATTCTGTTTTTGCTTTGTATTTGTATTAAACAAGTAAGTGAAATCATAGGTATTTGAGAAGTCAGATTTTTTCATATAACATGTGCAGATTTGCTTTGACTATGATTAAATTTTAAAACTGTTAATGAAACTTACTTCCAATCTACCTCCTCCTAGTAATTAAACCAACTGTGTCAACTGAGAAGCAGAATGTAAAGTGAGAATTAATAAGAGACCACAAAGAGATGTGAAAATATTATGAAGTCCCTATAGAAAACACCAGGTGGCATCTGTGTTACATTATCAGTAGATCTGTTTTGTGTATTTAATTTTAACCCAACTTGGTCATTCTCAGGTCACTTTCAGATAGAAGCTGTTCTATTCAGGCTGAATATTACACTAGTTCCACAATTCCACAACACATTTATAATTATTGACATTTGAACATACTCTTAAAAAAAAATCCTGATGTTTTATTTCAGGAAAGAAAAAAAAATTCTAAGAAATTATAATAGGAACAATACAAGCACAACAGAGAAGTTATATGTAGTAACAATTTCTAATACATAAAGACATGTAGAGAAGGGAGATAAAAAGCCAGTCCCCTATGAAATTTTTCTGTTGCTAGTAAACAGTTTGCTACCATCTAAAAGGAACATGAGGGAGAGGCACAATACAGATATAGTCTTAATACCTATTATAAATCAAAACACAAGGAATTTCCCAACTCTTTTCATTGTGATGTGATGAATTTATTAATGATGGAAAAACAATAATAAAAGTTATAGTATAACCATGTACCATAACTGGATATTCTTCTGAATATATTTTTAGATCTTTTTAAAAAGTCAAAATCCTATTATTCTTAAAAGTTATAATACATGCACTGGTATTCTGTAACATAGTGGCTCATTATCCAAAATGGAACAAACTGTTGGGCTAACACATACCCACTAAAACATGGAAAGTATATGGAGTAAGAAAAATCTGCTATGATAACAGTTTTTCCACTTCCAGTCTGCCCATAAGCAAAGCATGTAGCCATCCCCCTTTCAAATATAGTTTCCACCAGTGGTCTAGCTGTAAACCTTAAATAAAAATCAAATGCACCAGTCAGAGTGCGCTGTCAATACTTAAATTAAACAAATAAATAATAAAAGTAATATCAAGTCTTATTAATAAACGAAACTTACACCAAGATTTTTAACAAATCAATGAATGGGCTTAACTTTGAGATCACAACTGAGCCCATTGATTTGTTAAAAATTTTAAATAACCACATCCAAGAATTGCTTAAAGTTTTAAAACATAATTTTCAGCAATAATTCTGTAATAAACAATGGTCAGAATAATTATAGACAGAAAAAAATTGATAGTAACTGAGCTAAGACATATAGAAGACAACAGGGAAGTTTTTCAAAATACTAATAAAAGATGGTAACATTAGCCAGATAAATAAGACATATAATAAAAAGAAAAGTATCAAAAGTTTCAACAGAAACAGAATCAAAATAATGGTAATCATAACAGAAAAACTAAGGTTGAAAAAACTATAAAACAATAACTTAGATGATCTAAGAAGTAGAAAAGTGGTAAGATTAATTTGAATGTGAAGAAATGCAGATTATGCCTATAAGACAATGAGTTATGAGTTTATAGTCTTGATTCAGGAAAGTATGCCAAAGTATTCTGGTTTGGATTATTTTTTAAATGTACTGGTATAATCACCACTAGCATTAAAATAAAAAGGTAAGGAGGGACATGAAAAACTCACTGAGCACAACACTAAGAAATCTGATAGAAAACAATCTACTTTTTATATACGTGTCAAAAGAGTGTATGTGGAACAGTTTAAACAGCTCTGATTTTTTCTTTAAAGGCACCAGAAAAGGTAAAAAAACAAAAGCAGCAGAAAAAAGTTCTGGCCAAACAAAACTAGAAATGAGTCTGCAGAGTGATTAAAAAAAAAAAGGTCCAATTCCTCAATTCATAGAAGTTAAAAATAAGAGAACGGGGATAGGATCAGTATCAGTAAAGTCAAGAAGCATATATATACGGTGAAACACAGAATGTTTACTTAGTCTGTCACATACAAACACACAGAAACATACCTTCATTTATAATGATTTCTTGAAAATGATTATAAAAGTCAAACAGACACATTTTATGAGGCAGGAGTGGAAGCAGAGAAGGGTGTGAGGGGGAGGAGAGGGCTCTGTTCTCAGAAAGGTAAAAAATAAATAATTTATAACTGCCTTTAAAACAAGTTCTTTATTCTATTTCTATCACTCACTTACATGTTCTTTAATTTTGTTCTCTTTCTTTATGAACTCCCATACTGGCTTAAGATGAACAGAGTTGTTTTCAACAGTATTTCATTTATAACAGCTTCAATTCTTAGGACTCCATTAAATTCTTTAATTTTCTGTTTTCCAGTCATATTTATAAAAAAGGCAATGAAACATAGCATTGAAGTAACTGACAAGACAGTTCTACATAGACTGGAAGAGCAATGTGGCTAAAACTGACTGGTTAAAATAATTAGAAGTGAAGGCTTTACAAACTACATATGAAAATTAAATTTGGCATAATAATTTGGGGTATCAATGTGTAATACATGTAAGTTTGAGTTGTTCATGAGTTCAGTATGCGAGCATATAAGAATTTCATGTACTAAAGCTATTCTAAAGCTTAAATATGACAAAAATTAGGCAAATTCAAGTAGATTTACACAACTTTTTCCCCCTTAAGTGGTAGTACATGTTAAATAAATATTCAGACAAATTAATGACTGACGTATAACTGTTATTTCCAATTTCTTCACTAGTACAGAGATTAAAAAGCTGAAAATAGAGTCCTCTTCTAAGCATATCCCATTCTTAGAGGTACAGAAAATGTCAGCATTTTCCAGAAACTTCCTATCCATCTCTGTATCTATCTACCTACCTACCTACCTACCTACCTACTTACCTACCTATGTGTACGGTGTGTGAGATATGTATATAATGATTAGCAATTAAAATTGTGATTTTGGGGAGCATTAAAGAGAACAAGTGCTAGGAGTCATTATAGTACTTATTACATATTCTTCTTTGTTTAAACTCAGAAAAAAGTATATTACACCTTTGGAGAGACAAGCTAAGATCATGTAGTTCAGGGTGGTTATGAACACACAGCATAACAAAATTCTGATTAAAAACAAATTTACCTACCTGTAAACCATTTCATTAGGAGCTGAGTCATCAAAGGCATAATCAAAACGAAAAGTTTGGTTTTCTAGGTACCTTGTCAAATCTACTTTTTGTTTTGGTTCGTGTACCATCACAACATCTTTACTAGGGATTGTAATTACATCAAGATCTTTCATTTGAGTTTCTAAAGGAATAAATGAAAATCAGTGCCCAGTAATTTACACAGCATTTGAATTAATGTACAAAAATTATTTTAAGTAGTAAGAATTTAGGTAACAGTAGTAAGTTGTGTAAATATAAATACCATATGTATGTCATTCAATAAGACAAAATATTTCAACAATGAAGTAAAAAAACAAGATTTCTGAAGCACAAACTAGGAATGGCAGAGATTCATAGAGTAGTAATAAGAAAACAGATCTGGCCATAGAAATATACAAAATGGTTACGTACAAATGAAATGATTATTTACACTGAACTCTTTCAAACTCTTCTGTTATTATCAAAATAAATTAGAAACTGGATAAAATCAACCTTTTATTAGAGTTCAAAAGGCATCATACCTTTTTTATTGAGTGGTCGTTTTCTTACACAAACACATATCCTATGTTCATCAATCTAGAAATAAAATTTATTTCAGTGATTATCAGTGGTATGTAAAACACCAAAAAGTCAATTATGCAATACTTCCTTCAGAGTTTTTAGAAATTTATGCATACCATAAAAAACAAATTAGCTTTCAGAAATTTAAATGTTATTAGACATGATTATTTCTAAAATTTTGAGTATAATGGAAACTTGCTTGTTTTATTTGGTAAAACATTAGGAAATAACTTTGTAGAGGGTACTACTGTTCTTAGCAGCATTAGGTTCATGTTAAGAAGCTGCCTTATTCATTTCAAGATGTGATGTATATAAACAAATTGAATTTCCTACCAAATAGTGTATTTTCAGGTTGTTTATAGAGAAAGTTGTTGGCAAAGGTAACTATGGACAACAACACAATTCTCAGACTATTGAGCAAAAATAACTTCAAGTTTTTAATATGCCAGTTTTTACACATATTTTTTCATAAAATTTACATTCCAAATACTTGCCTTTTAATAACTGACATAATGCAGGGATTGGCAAGGTATAGCCTGCAGGCCTAATCCAGCCTACAACCTGTTTTTGTAAAGTTTACTGAGGATTGCACCCATTCGTTTATATATTGTCTGTGGTTGCTTTCACACTGTAAAGGCAGAACTGAGTAGTTGTGACAAAGACCATAAGACTTACAAAGCCAAAAACATTTATGATCAGGCCCTTGTCAGAAAAAGTTTGCCAATCCCTGTCCTAAAGTATGTGGCAAGTTAAATACATGGAGGGGTAACAACGACTAAAATACATGCGATTCAAGTGTCACAAACAACAATTCTATTATATGAAACCCTACATAATACATCTGCCTACTGCAAATTTATTTTGTGTACCCAATACAGTCTCTATATGCTAGGTCAGATGGATTACTTTTCATAAGTGACAGTTACAAAGTATTCCCTATTCAATAAATTCTCATTTTCAACATTTTTCAAGCAGTAGATTTCTGGCCTACTGCAGCAGAAATTGTAGTATTGTAGTATTGTTATGAAAGAGAAACTGAGATCAAAGCATAAGTGATGGTCATAAAGGAAACTTATCTACTGACATTACTCCTTTAACAGTTGCTCTGCCCTATCAGACAGGAGGCTTTCCTTTGAAAAGGGCATCTCTGTGAGAAGCATGTCTGACAACATCAAATTATGGCAGATAAAAATAAATGTAGATGATTTCTTGGTTTTCTTCTTAAAACATGGGGATAAGCACCCATAAGGAGAGGAAAAGCTATATAACTAAATCCATTAATTTAGGGGGTATCAAATACATTTTTATTTACAGCATAAAAAGTTCCAGAGCAATGGTTTATAAAAAATCTTACAGGATCTGCTGTTGTTAATGGTCTATAATCCAAACTTCCTCTAAAGTCTCTGATCATACACATTATTTCATAATTTGGGTTTGTAGCATCAACATCCTATAAGAAGACAGAGAGAATTCATTTACTTATTATAATCACAATAATGGGATATATGTTTATTTGTTATATGTGATTTGAAAATTAAAATAATAGGCTGTGTTATTTGTCACAGGTAAGTCCACACTCAAATTGGAGATGTACTACAATTTAGTTTTAGAGTTCAGGATTAATAATATGCCCAGGAATCACTTCCATACTAAAAGCACAATTCTGTTAATCTACATGAATTCTGTTAACTCCAAACCAAACACTTCTCATCAATACCACCCTTGAACTTTAAAAATTCACTTGTTAAACATATACCTTAATTGTCCTAGAAAATAGAGCTGAAGAGAAAAAATGATCATTTTAAACTTCACTAAAGAACTCTATAAAAGCTGCAATTCTAGAAAAATTCATTTAATCAGATTCTTCTTGCCAATTCTTAATCCAGTGTTTCAGGGAAGTAGAAATATGGATTCATTTTTATTGTGTTTCTTAAAAAAGAAAAATTAAGGCATGGTAAAGCAACTCTAAATGAGTAAGACACAGAATTTAAAGGAATCAAAAGTCAAGATAATTTTTAAAAATCTTTAAAATTCAAATTATCAAATGCTGACTGTAATTTTTTTGCTTCAAAACTGAGAAAATTCAGATAATGATAAAAATAGCAAAGTTACATGGCCTTTCCTAGCTGTAATAAATTATTGAACATTCTAAGAAGTTAGATTTTTTCTTTTTTCCAAACATTTAAAAAAAGTTGAAGTATCACACAATTATATATTGGTTTCAAGTTTACAACACAGTGGTTCAACAGTTTCAAGTTACCCATATTATTAAGTACTCACCCCACTAGTGCCGTTACTATCTGTTCACACAGGAAGATGTTACAGAATCATTAACTGCATATTCTCCATGCTGCACTACCATCCTCATGACCAACTTATATTATGATTGAGAATTTTTGTGCCCCTTTATACCCCTCCCCTCCTTCCCATCCCCTTCCCCATGGTAACCACTAGGCACTTAGTGTCTGAGTCTACTGCTGTTTTGTTCATTCTGTTTTTGCTTTGTATTTGTATTAAACAAGTAAGTGAAATCATAGGTATTTGAGAAGTCAGATTTTTTCATATAACATGTGCAGATTTGCTTTGACTATGATTAAATTTTAAAACTGTTAATGAAACTTACTTCCAATCTACCTCCTCCTAGTAATTAAACCAACTGTGTCAACTGAGAAGCAGAATGTAAAGTGAGAATTAATAAGAGACCACAAAGAGATGTGAAAATATTATGAAGTCCCTATAGAAAACACCAGGTGGCATCTGTGTTACATTATCAGTAGATCTGTTTTGTGTATTTAATTTTAACCCAACTTGGTCATTCTCAGGTCACTTTCAGATAGAAGCTGTTCTATTCAGGCTGAATATTACACTAGTTCCACAATTCCACAACACATTTATAATTATTGACATTTGAACATACTCTTAAAAAAAAATCCTGATGTTTTATTTCAGGAAAGAAAAAAAAATTCTAAGAAATTATAATAGGAACAATACAAGCACAACAGAGAAGTTATATGTAGTAACAATTTCTAATACATAAAGACATGTAGAGAAGGGAGATAAAAAGCCAGTCCCCTATGAAATTTTTCTGTTGCTAGTAAACAGTTTGCTACCATCTAAAAGGAACATGAGGGAGAGGCACAATACAGATATAGTCTTAATACCTATTATAAATCAAAACACAAGGAATTTCCCAACTCTTTTCATTGTGATGTGATGAATTTATTAATGATGGAAAAACAATAATAAAAGTTATAGTATAACCATGTACCATAACTGGATATTCTTCTGAATATATTTTTAGATCTTTTTAAAAAGTCAAAATCCTATTATTCTTAAAAGTTATAATACATGCACTGGTATTCTGTAACATAGTGGCTCATTATCCAAAATGGAACAAACTGTTGGGCTAACACATACCCACTAAAACATGGAAAGTATATGGAGTAAGAAAAATCTGCTATGATAACTTACTTTCAAAGAGTTTACACTATTCTTCAAAATCAATATAAGGGAAAGTATATGGAAACTTTAAATGAATGCCTCAACTACTTTTTCACAAGCTGACCACTTTCACTGACATGGCCTAAACCTTCAGGTGGTATATTAAAAAAAAAAAAAAATGTTCATTACAAACCTGGGCTCTTTTTTCTCTAAGTTCTTGCTGTTGTAGTCTCCTTTTTTCTCGTTTTTCTTGTAACTTTTCTACTTCTTTCACACAGTTAGATTTTCTACGTGCTGGAAGAAAAAGATGAGCTATAGAAGTACAGTTTTATTTAGAATACTGTACTTATAAACAAAGATTTTACATATAATTTCACCACATACACCAAAAAAAGGTACACTACACCAAAAAAAGGTACACAGTGACAAAGCACGCCTGCAACAACTATGTGAACTCTACGAGCTGCCTTAACAAACTAGGACAATATACAAACAGGAGTCAAGAAAAGGCACTCTTAACATTGATACATGTTATCTCTTGGTTTAGAATCACATATCTTTGAATGGGAAAAGATAAACAAGCATATAAGAATTTCTTCTGTAACATTTGTCAAATCATCATCTGGCCAGAATTTTAAATTCAAAGCAAATGAGACACTTTTATTTAAAAATTTTTTCCCTACAATATATATTAAAAGCCCAATTGACAGACTATACTAACAAGAAAAGAAAAACTTTCCACAGTGGTAAAACAAAATCTACAATGAAGTTTGCAATTACACTGTTTATTGTTTGGGGACTTATAAGGATAACCAAGAGAAAATACATGTATGCTAAAATGACTGAATCCTGATACATGATTTACATACAAGGGGGTCCAAATTCCTTTTTTGCAGCTTGAACTGGAGATATATCTGAAACACTACCATTCTGTTGTGCAGAGGAAGACTGTTCAGGAAGTTGACTAGGCCGTGCACGTGCAGAACCAACCACTGTAAGTGAAACAAATTTTTAAATTCAGGACAGACAATTAGTGAAGGTCAACCTTAATAGAAGGAACAGAGATACCTCAAAACAACTGATAACTTTAAAGTTGCATTAGCAAATTGCCAAGTTTTCTACTTATGGGTGTATGAAGATAATGTATAATAATCAATTCTGTTCAATAAACTGACAAGCTAAGAGATCTCAAAATAATACTAATGTGCAATGTAATTTTAGCTATAAAACTCAATCTGATTTATATAAAAACCAAAGTAAAGCTTGATTTTTAATAATCATTTAAAAAACGTGTGTGTAAAGTAGGAACTTTAAATTAATATACATACTCATACTGAAAAATTTACACTATGTTTACAGTATTTGGAAGCACAGAAAGTAAAAAAAAAGTCCTTTAACCCTCCCTGTATTCCAAATCCCACTCTTTGTTCTTCAGATATACAAATCTTTAGCAGAGATTTTCCACTTTGGAAATTGTAAAAGTGGGAAAAGGAATATAAAGTTAAATATAAATATCACCTACAAAGAAATATAAATGTTCACAAGACTCAAAAGGTAGTGTTTAAAGTGCAGGACTTTCCCTCTATCTCCATTCTTTCTTCTAATACCTATGCTTATCCTGCCCTACATCTACACATATAGAGAAACATCACTACTATAAAGGACACCTCTGAATTGCTAAAGAGTAGAAAAGAAATTAACTATTGTTTTATATTTCATGGCTGAAACTAACTGCAATTAACTACAACTTATATCTGCCTAACTTTTCTTTAGTTAACTCCAAAGTAAGGCATGATACTTTTTAGAAGCCTGTTAGCCAGAAAAATCACTTAAAACATCATGATAATTATAATGTTACCCATGTCATATCAATTAACTGACTTCATCATTCCTTTTTTTCTTATAATCTCCTTATACCTGAAAAACTATTGGGTAAATGTGATGGATCAAAAATTGCACATATTATGGAGTTTCATAGTCAACATGTTCCTTTATAAATCATTTTTTTCTATTATCAACATTACTGTTTCAAAGAAATCAAGAAGATACCAGTCTTAAAATTAGCCATGAATGGTTTAAATGAAGAATGATGTCAAGGATAATATTTACTTTTGATTTACCTTGTCAAGAGTCATATTGAGAAGTCAATAGGCAAAGTTAATAAATTTTTCCTTTACCTCTATTATCTCTTGGCGGAGGGTCGTTCTTAATAGAAGCCACAGTCCGTCGATTCTATAAAGGAAAATCACCACTTTACTCTCTCTTTTACTCCTCATATATATATAATAATTTCACCTTCCTTTAATTAAACAAAAGTAGGTGGACTTTTTATAAAACAATAAAGAAATAGAAAAATGATAAATCTTTTAATGAATTAGTACAAATGCTATCAATACAAGTTTCTTTATATAAGTATTATACCTCCCACATATAAAAAGTATTCAGGAATTAATATGAGTAAGGCACTGTTCTAAGAACTTTACATGTATTAATTCATTGGATCTTCATAACAACCCTACGAGGTCATTATTATTGCTACTCTGATTTCATAGATAAGGTAACTGAAGCAGAGAGTGGTTAAGTATTTTCACTAAAGGGTGGGCTTTTAATCCTCATGCTACCCTGCCATATTCATATATTTCATCTTTGGATGTCAGGGTAATCAATAAAATACTAATTTCAGATGACTTATTAATTTTAGATAATACTATCAAGTGTGCACTGCCAGTTATACCAACAGTGGTCCCATTATTTATTTAGCAAGACTTCATTTTATGCACCTGAAAAAAAGATACCAAATGATGCAGTGGTTCTCAATGCTTGTACATTCAAATAAAATGAGTACTAGCGAAAGGATTTTGATGTGAGGGCCTCCCTTTAGATAAAATAAAACTGAATTTCTGGGAGTGAATAATGATTAAGAATAAGAATTAAAATAAGCATTAAAGAATAAGAATTTTTAAAAAGAGCATTAAAAAAAAAACCTCCAGGTGATTCTATGTACAGCAAAGGCTGCTAATGGCATACCAAGAAGGATAAAAAAACTATGAACACCCCTCAAGGTTGTGAAAAACAGTCCATTTACAAGTGGTAGCTAATGCCCTCAAAGCAGTGACTCTCAAGATGTTGAAATTACATGAACTGAAAATCTACCTTAAGTTCATATGAATGGTTTAAAATGCAAAATATTTTGCTGATACTGCTAAGCTTTGATCATATTTGGATGCTTACGTATGTGTTCCCTGCAAGACAGAAAGTTCCTATAGAGTTAAAATCATTTCGTATTTATCTTAGTGGATGATAAAGTCAACAATGTAGAAAAATCCAACACATGCTTGTTGAATTGAAAACAAAGAATTGCAGATCCAACAACTTTGAGGGACTACCTGGTATAAAAAGAGTTGTATTTTGATACGAAGTTTTAACAATGAGAAGTTATAATAGGAAGGAAGAGGAATTATCTTAATGAAAATACCTTTTATATCAGTAAAGATAAAACTGGAAGGATACAGCATAGTTTCTTTTTTATTTTCTTAACCTTAATCTACAATTACATCAAGAACATTATGTTTACTAGGCTCCCCCCTTCACCAAGTCCCCCCAACACACTCCATTACAGTCACTGTCCATCAGCATAGTAAGATGCTGTAGAATCACTACTTGTCTTCACTGTATTGCACAGCCTTCCCCATGCCCCCCGCCACATGCTAATTATACATGCTAATCGTAATACCCCGTCTTTTTCCCCGCCCTTATCCCTCCCTTCCCACCCATCCGCCCCAGTCCCTTTCCCTTTGGTAACTGTTAGTCCAGTCTTGGGTTCTGTGATTGTGCTGCTGTTTTGTTCCTTCAGTTTTCCTTTATTCTTATACTCCACATATGAGTGAAATCATTTGATACTTGTCTTTCTCCACCTGGCTTATTTTACTGAGCATAATACCCTCTAGCTCCTTCCATGTTGTTGCAAATGGTAGGATTTGTTTTCTTCTTATGGCTGAATAATATTCCATTGTGTATATGCACCACATCTTCTCTATCCATTCATCTACTGATGGACACTTAGATTGCTTCCATTACTTGGCTATTGTAAACAGTGCTGCGATAAACATAGGAGTGCATCTCTTTCTCAAACTGGGCTCAAATGGTATATCTATTTTGAGCTTTTTGAGGAACCTCCATACTGCTTTCCACAATGACTAAACTAATTTACATTCCCACCAGCAGAGTAGCAGGGTTCACCTTTCTCCACAACCTCGCCAACATGTGTTGTTGTTTGACTTCTGTATGGTGGTGATCCTAACTGGTGCGAGGTGATATCTCATTGTGGTTTTAATTTGCATTTCTCTGATGACTAGCGATGTGGAGTATCTTTTCATCTGTCTGTTGGCCATCTGAATTTCTTCTTTGGAGAACTGTCTGTTCAGCTCCTCTGCCCATTTTTTAATTGGATTATTTGCTTTTTGTTTGTTGAGGAGCATGAGCTTTTTATATATTCTGGATGTCAACCTTTTATTGGATCTGTCATTTATGAACATACTCTCTCAAACTGTAGGGTACCTTTTTGTTCTATTGATGGTGTCCTTTGCTGTACAGAAGCTTTGCAGCCTGATATAGTGCCACTTGTTCATTTTTGCTTTTGTTTCCCTTGCCCAGGGAGACATGTTCATGAAGAAGTTGCTCATGTTTTTGTCCAAGAGATTTTTGCCAATGTTTTTTTCTAGGAGTTTTATGGTTTCATAACTTACATTCAGGTCTTTGATCCATTTGGAATTTACTTTTGTGTATAGGGTTAGACAATGATCCAGTTTCATTCTCTTAGATGTAGCTCTCCAGTTTTGCCAGCACCATCTGTTGAAGAGACTGTCATTTCCCCATTGTATGTCCATGGCTCCTTTATCATATATTAATTGACCATATATGTTTGGGTTAATGTCTGGAGCCTCTATTCTGTTCCACTGGTCTGTGGCCAGTACCAAACTGTCTTGATTACTGTGGCTTTGTAGTAGAGCTTGAAGTTGGGGAGCGAGAACCCCACCCTTTATTCTTCCTTCTCAGGATTGCTTTGGCTATTTGGGGTCTTTGGTGTTTCCATAAGAATTTTTGAACTATTTGTTCCAGTTCATTGAAGAATGTTGTTGGTAATTTGATAGGGATTGCATCAAATCTGTAGATTGCTTTGGGCAGGATGGCCATTTTGATGATATTAATGCTTCCTAGCCAAGAGCATGTGAAGAGTTTCTGTTTACTAGAGTCCTCTAATTTACCTTAAGAGGGTCTTGTAGTTTTCAGGGCATAGGTCTTTCACTTCCTTGGTTAGGTTTATTCCTAGGTATTTTATTCTTTTTGATGCAATTGTGAATGGAATTATTTTCCTGATTTCTCTTTCTATTAGTTCATTGTTAGTATATAGGAAATCCACAGATTTCTGTGTGTTAATTTTGTATCCTGTAACTTTGCTGTATTCCGATATTAGTTCTAGTAGTTTTGGATAGTCTTTAGGGTGTTTTATGTACAATATCGTGTCATCTGCAAGTAGTGACAGTTTGACTTCTTCTTTACCAATATGGATTTCTTGTATTTCTTTGTTTTGTCTAATTGCCGTGGCCTGGTCCTCCAGTACTATGTTGAATAACAGTGGGGAGAGTGGGCATCCCTGTCTTGTTCCCGATCTTAGAAGAAAAGCTTTCAGCTTATCACTGTTCAGTAGGATGTTGTCTGTGGGCTTATCATATATGGCCTTTATTATGTTGGGGTACTTGTCCTGTATACCCATTTTGCTGAGAATTTTTATCATGAATGGATGTTGAATTTTGTTGAATGTTTTTTCAGCTTCCATGGAAATGATCATGTGAATTTTGTCCTTCTTTTTGTTTATGTGGTGGATGATGTTGATGGATTTTCGAATGTTGTATCATCCTTGCATCCCTGAGATGAATCCCACTTGGTCATGGTGTATGATCCTCTTGATGTATTTTTGAATTCGGTTTGCTAATATTTTGTTAAGTATTTTTGCATCTATGTTCATCAGGGATATTGGTGTGTAATTTTCTTTTTTGGTGGGGTCTTTGCCTGTTTTTGGTATTAGAGTGATGCTGACTTCATAGAATGAGTGTGGAAGTATTCCCTCCTCTTCTATTTTTTGGAAAACTTTAAGGAGAATGGGTATTATGTCTTCTCTGTATGTCTGATAAAATTCTGAGGTAAATCCATCTGGCCAGAGGGTTTTGTTCCTGGGAGGTTTTTTTGATTACCACTTCAATTTCGTTGCTAGTTATTGGTCTCCTTAGATTTTCTGTTTCTTGCTTGGTCAGTCTTGGAAGGTTGTATTTTTCTAGGAAGTTGTCCATTTCTCCTAGGTTTTCCAGCTTTTTAGCATATAGGTTTTCATAGTATTCTTCAATAATTCTTTGTATTTCTGTGGGGTCTGTCGTGATTTTTCCTTTCTTGTTTCTGATTCTGTTGATGTGTGTTCATTCTCTTTTTCTCTTAATAAGTCTGGCTAGAGGCTTATCTATTTTGTTTATTTTCTCAAAGAATCAGCTCTTGGTTTCATTGATTTTTTCTATTGTTTTATTCTTCTCAATTTTATTTATTTCTTCTCATATCTTTATTATGTCCCACCTGCTGACTTTAGGCCTCATTTGTTCTTCTTTTTCCAATTTTGATAATTGTGACTTTAGACTATTCATTTTGGATTGTTCTTCCTTCTTTAAATATGCCTGGATTGCTATATACTTTCCTCTTATGACTGCTTTCGCTGCGTCCCACAGAAGTTGGGGCTTTGTGTTGTTGTTGTCATTTGTTTCCATCTATTGCTGGATCTCCATTTTAATTTGGTCGTTGATCATAGATTATTTAGGAGCATGTTGTTAAGCTTCCATGTGTTTGTGAGCCTTTTTGCTTTCTTTGTACAATTTACTTCTAGTTTTATAACATTGTGGTCTGAAAAGTTGGTTGGTAGAATTTCAATGTCTTTGAATTTACTGAGGCTCTTTTTGTGGCCTAGTGTGTGGTCTATTTTGGAGAATGTTCCATGTGCACTTGAGAAGAATGTGTATCCTATTGCTTTTGGATGCAGAGTTGTATAGATGTCTATTAGGTCCATCTGTTGTAGTGTGTTGTTCAGTGCCTCTATGTCCTTACTTATTTTCTGTCTGGTGGATCTATCTTTTGGAGTGGTGTGTTGAAGTCTCCTAAAATGAATGCATTGAATTCTATTTCCTCCTTTATTTCTGTTAGTATTTGTTTCACATATGCTGCTGCTCCTGTGTTGGGTGCATATATATTTATAATGGTTATACCCTCTCGTTGGATTGACCCCTTTATCATTATATAATGTGCTTCTTTATCTCTTGTGAGACCTTCTTAATTTTGAAGTCTATTTTTTCTGATACTAGTACTGAAACACCTGCTTTTTTCTCCCTGTGGTTTGTACCAAATATCTTTTTTCCATCCCTTGACTTTTAGTCTGTGCATGTCTTTGGGTTTGAGGTGGATCTCTTATAAGCAGCAAATAGATGTGTCTTGCTTCTTTATCCATTCTATTACTCTGTGTCTTTTGATTGGTGCATTCAGTCCATTTACATTTAGGGTGATTATTGAAAGATATGTACTTATTGCCTTTGCAGTCTTTAGATTCGTGGTTACCAAAAGTTCAAGGTTAGCTTCTTTAGCATCTTACTGCCTAACTTAACTCACTTACTGAGCTATTATAGACACTGTCTGTTGATTTTTTACTTCTCTCCCTTTTTATTCTTCTTCTTACATTCTTTATATGTTGTGTGTTTTATTCTGTGCTCTTTTGTGTTTTCTTTAACTGCTTTTGTGGGTAGTTGATTTTATTTTTTGCCGTTAGTTAGTATTTGGTTGGTCTGCTTTCTTTGCTGTGATTTTATTTTCTCTGGTGACATCTATTTAGCCTTAAGAGTGCTCGCATCTAGAGCAGTCCCTCTAAAATACCCTGTAGAGCTGGTTTGTGGGAGGCAAATTCCCTCAACTTTTGCTTGCCTGGAAATTGTTTAATCCCTCCTTCATATTTAAATGATAATCATGCTGGATACAGTATTCTTGGTTCAAGGCCCTTCTGTTTCATTGCATTAAATAGATCACGTCATTCTCTTCTGGCCTGTAAGGTTTCTGTTGAGAAATCTGATGGATTTTCCTTTGTAGGTGACCTTTTTCCTCTCTCTAGCTGCCTTTATAACTCTGTCCTTGTCCTTGATCTTTGCCATTTTAATTATTATGTGTCTTGGTGTTGTCCTCCTTGGTCCCTTCTGTTGGGAGTTTGTGTACTTCCGTGGTCTGATCGATTATTTTCTCCCCCAGTTTGGGGAAGTTTTCAGCAATTATTGTTCAAATATACTCTCCATCCCTTTTTTTCTCTTTTCTTCTTCTGTTACCCCTATAATGCGAATATTGTTCCGTTTGGATTGGTCACACAATTCTGTTAGGGGAGACTGGGTTAGTCTGGTCTGTGTCAAATTCTTCCGCTTTTTCATGGCGATAGAGGTAGTTGTGGGGAGCTGGCTCATGTGTTGGCTGGGAGAACGTTCCTTCTTGTTAGTTGTGGCCTTCCTTTCCTGGGAGAACAGCAACCCCTAGCAGATTGTGCTGGGCAGCTGTATGCAGACGGGGTTTTTAATTCTTGCCCGGCGGCTGTGAAAGAAGCTCTGCCCTGCTGCCTCAGGCTGCCTCCACCATAGTGGAGCAGCATCAGTGGGGAAATGGGCGGGAGGCTGTTGATCTCCGTGAGGCGCCTCCAAGCTGCGCTGCCGCTCAGGGGCTTACGGCACCTGAAGTTCCCCAGGTCCCAGCTGCTGGGCTAAGTGTCCCAGACGTTTCCGTCCAGCTGTGGGGTCCTTGTCCCTTTAAGTCTTTCAAAAAGCACTCGCTTTTCTTTGTCCCAGGGGTGCCAGCTGCGGGGACCCACTCGCAGGTTTTACTGCCCCATTTCCCTAGGATCCAGCTCCCCATGCACTGTGTGTCCGTGTTCTGGTGCGGATGGCTAGGGCTGGGTGTTTAGCAGTCCTGGGGTCCTTCTCCCTCCCCACTCTGACTCCTCTCCTCCCGCCGGAAGCTGGGGTGAGAGGAACTCAGGTCTTGTTGGGCTGGGGCTTGTATCTTACCCTCTTCACGAGGCGCTGGGTTCTTGCAGGTATAGATGTAGCCTGGCTGTTGTCCTGTATATTCTGGTCTCTCTTTTAGGGATAGTTGTATTTGTTGAATTTTCAAAAGTATATATGGTTTTGGAGATTTCCATTGCTCTACTCATGCCACCATCTTGGCTCCGCCCCCCATAGCATAGTTTTAATTAAAGTTTATCTTCACATATAATATAGAAGTAGTTAAACTACAGCATCTTCCTTTAAGGAATATTAAGTAAAATTATTTTCTCAAAAGACTATTGGAGTGGGAATTTATTATGAATAATAAAGTCATTCCTTATCAAAACCTTACATATTCACTCAATAGATGCTGACAAGAAGCAAATGGTTTTGACCCATGTGTCCTGAGAAATTATTACTCTTAGGGAGAAAATCCTAATCAGGGAAAGAAATTCTAGGATCTTATCTAATGCTTGTCATTACTGTGAATTAGACACCCTCACTCCTTTCAGGTATGTGTGTATATACACACATGTGGATGGTGGAAAGAATTAAGTTTTTTTTTTTTAAAGCAAACTAATACTTAAAATGTGCTCTTCACATCCTGCCAATTTCAAACCAGAACGTATCACACACACACACATACACACACGCACGCACGCACGCACGCACGCACCCCTGCTCTGAATTTTTATACTAACCTTTACAATTTTGTTTACTTTGGCTGAGGATGTTGGAGGTGGAGGTGTTTCTGGACTGGGTTCAATTTCTTCATCAGGTACAAGGTCAGGGTTAAGTGAAAAGATGCTCTCCAGGTCAATCTGTTTTAAGAACCACATATATTTTGAGAATGTATTTTAACAATTAAGTTTTTATTTTTCAAATAAATTTCCACAGAGAATAAATGTTAAATGATTTCAGTCTAAGTGAATGGAGGTGACTTGAAAACCAGATTATTTAACATTATATAACCCACATATATTTAAAGAATCTCTTAGGATTAGTATTTTGTGGTCTTGATTACATGTTCAGTTGTAAGACAAGCAGGAGCAATCTACCTTTCTTTGAGCAAAAGCTTTTTAATCCTTTCAAAGTTTTTCAAGGAATACATGCACTACGTAAAAACTACATACTTTTCTGTTTTATTTTATATTCAGAATCTTCACTGCAGGACTAGAAATAAAATTTAACCCAGTGATGACTGTACCTCTTTGCCTTTTGTATCTCCATTTTCTATCCACTCAACAGTTACACTTTCATTGTCTTCATTTAAAGATGTTACCATTGCTTGATGTATTCGCCCTAAACAGGAATAAAATATACATTTTTAAAATGCCACGAATTATAGTATTCCTAAACACTGTCCAATAAAATTCTACATTTTACAAACCTTTCAAAGACTATATTAGTTGCCTTACACAGGATTTCCACAGAGTCTCAGGATTAGGGAATGAACTTCGTCCATGGGACTATAAACCAACTGCTACTTGTCAAGACAAGGAACTCAAGAAACTGAATTAGACTGAAAGTTTATTTTCAGCATACATGGTAAAACATGGCAAGGAATACCTGAAATTTTATGCTGTGAAACAATTCTAATCATTTGAAACTTTCCTTACTATAAGCCAACAACTCTGCAGAACACAGAAAATTCATAAAGCAATTTTTAATGCTTTACTGACGTGAAATACTTTTTACTTAAAAGTTACTATCATATATTGTACAAATTGGTATTTTAAAATTATTGAGGAGGAGCCAAGATGGCAGCATAAGTAGGACAATGGAAATCTCCTCCCCAAAAAATATATTTTTGAAAATACAACAAATACAACTATTCCTAAAAGAGAGACCAGAAGATACAGAACAACAGCCAGGCTACAGCTACATCTGCGACAACCCAGTGCCTCACAAAGGGGGTAAGATACAAGCCAGGGCCCGATGGGACCCGAGTGACACCCCAACCCCAGCTCCTGGCGGGAGGAGAGGAGTCGGAGTGGGGAGGGAGAGGGAGCCCAGAACTGCTAAATACCCAGCCCTAGTCCTCCGCACTGGGAGCGAAGACATACAGTGTGCGGTGTGCTGGATACTAGGGAAACAGAACAGTAAAACCTGTGAGCGGGTTCCCACAGCCGCACCCCTGGGACAAAAGAAAAGCAAGTGCTTTTTGAAAGTCTTAAAGGGACAGGAGCCTCACAGCTGGATGGAAGCGTCCTGGCACACTCAGCCCAGCAGCTGGGAATCGGGGAACTCTGGGCACCCTAACCCCTGGGCAGCAGCGCAGCTCTGAGGCCCCTCACAGTGATAAACAGCCTCCCACCCATTCAACCTCTGGCGTGGCCCCGCCATAGCAGAGCAGGAGCCTGAAAGCAGCCACGTCCACAGCAACCAGGCAGAGCTTACTCCACAGCGGCCTGGGCAAGAATCAGAGACACCATCCGTGTGCAGCTGCCCAGCATAAGCTGCTAGGGGTCGCCATTTTCACAGGAAAGGAAGGTCAGGGGCAAGTGGAAAGGGACTTGGTTCTCCCAGCTGACACAAGCACCAACTGCACACGACTACCTCTATCACCATGAAAAGGCAGAAGAATTTGATCCAGACCAGAATAACCCAGACATCCTCTACTAAGAGGGAACCTGGGGAGATAGATTTAACCAATTTAACTGAAAAAGAATTCAAAATACAGGTCATAACCATGCTGATGGACTTGCAGAGAAGTATGCAAGAGCTAAGGAGGGAGAATACAGAAATAAAACAATCTCTGGAAGCAGAATGGATGAGATGCAGGAGGCCATTAATGGAATAGAAATCAGAGAACAGGAACACACAGAAGCTGACACAGAGAGAGATAAAAGGATCTCCAGGAATGAAAGAATATTAAGAGAACTGTGTGACCAATCGAAATGCAACAATATCCGCATTATAGAGGTACCAGAAGAAGAGAAAGAAAAAGGGATAGAAAGTATCTTTGAAGAAATTATTTCTGTAAACTTCTCCAAACTGGGGGAGGAAATAATCGTTCAGACTACGGAAGCACACAGAACTCCCAACAGAAGGGACCCAAGGAGGACAACACCGAGACACTTAATAATTAAAATGGCAAAGATCAAAGATAAGGACAGAGTATTAAAGGCAGTCAGGGAGAGAAAAAAGGTCACCTACAAAGGAAAACCCATCAGGCTATCATCAGACTTCTCAACAGACACCTTACAGGCCACAAGAGAATGGCATGCTATATTTAATAAAATGAAACAGAAGGGCCTTGAACCAAGGATACTGTATCCAGCATGATTATCATTTACATACGAAGGAGGGATTAAACAATTTCCAGACAAGCAAAAGTTGAGGGAATTTGCCTCCCACAAACCAGCTCTACAGGGTATTTTAGAGGGACAGCTCTAGATGGAAGCACTCGTAAGGCTAAATAGATGTCACCAGAGAAAATAAAATCACAGCAAAGAAAGCGGAACAATCAAATCACAGCAAAGAAAGTGAAATAATCAAATACTAACTAAACGCAAAAAATAAAATCAACTACTCACAAAAGCAGTCAAAGGAAACACAAAAGAGCACAAAATAAAACACCTAACATACAACAAATGGAGGAGGAGGAATAAGAAGGAAGAGAAATAAAGAATTATCAGACTGTGTTTATAATAGCTGAATAAGTGAGTTAAGTTA